ATTTGGTCCAATTCATATCCGCACTTTTTGAATCTAAAGGTATTAGAGGAGTATAGTTTTTAATATTTTCTACAATATATTGGAAGTAACCATACATGCCTTTCCAAAGTGCCATGTTGATTCTTTGGATTGTATATTAAATTCAAGTAGCTACTTATATAATAGATTTGATCATGTAATATAAGTTGTTGGATTTTGACTTAAGGTGAATAATGTATTCAAGTAATTCCAAATGATGTGCGCTTTGGAGCAATTCATCAATGCATGTTTTGATGGTTTTATTGTTGGGTCATTGTAGATCTGACAATGTCCTTCTTAGCAAGCTTGGCTTTGCCATAATCCAATAAGCAAACTTTTTGCAAGTAATAATCAATGTATTACAACAATCTTTTGAGGCAGCCATAGATACCATACTCTAATTAATATCTATCAACATTGATTATTGATATATCTTTCTTCTTTCAACTTTATGATGCCTTTCATCTTGTTCTTTACTAAATTGAATATAATACAATATCTTAATTTTATTGTATATGCATAAAAGTTGTATTCTTTGACACATCCAATGTCTTTCCATTATTACTTGTTTAGGTTCCATAGAAGGTGTAGGATGGATATGAAAATAAAGAATCATATTCTATATTAGTTTTTAGAGTAGAAAAAGTTTGCTTTAAGAAAACACTGAGCTTTTGGCTGTTACTAATTACTCAAGTAAGTTAAAAATTTAAAAAAAATAAAAAAATAAAAAAAAACCAAGTCTATATGTAAAATTATCTCTTTAGTGGTAATTATATCAAATACATAAGTCTTAAGTATCCAAGAACATCTAAAATATGATAAAATATTTTAAAACCTTAAATATCCTTATGGAAAATTTTTTCTAAACTTCAATTGCTCATATCTCCTAATTAGAGTATCAAATGGATTCAAATTTTACAAAAAGTATTAATGTACTTTAAACAACTATTAAAAAAAATCTCAACTAAAAATTTATTATGGATCTTGAGATATTACCAAAATTCTAATAATAGCTTTAAATCCTTATTTATATATACCTACATGTAATTTTCTTTATACCTCATAAATTAAATTTTTAAATGCCACAAAATTTGGTATATAAATTTTTAATACAATAATTAATATTTTCTAAAAATTTGAGCCAAAAACTCGTCTAAAAAATCAAGATATGATTCCAATCATTACTATCAAAAAAATGGTTCATTTATTACCTTAAAATTGGATGCATTCTCTTCAACTTTCTATAACTCTTTCCTCCAAATGTAAGAATTCTTCCATGAAAGATGTAGATCTTAAAATTTTCCTTCTAGATGTACCTCCTGATTTCCATAAGCTGCTATAGAATTCCTTGTATCCTCAAAAGAGCAATAGTATGTCTTAAAATAATACCTTAACTTCAAACAACTATATCTTTTTTACCTTAACTCCAAATCCTCTAATTTTCATATGTAAATTCTAATCCGAATTCTAAATCTAATAATCCTTGCTTCTAATTCCAAATGTCTTCTTTAAAATCACTAAAAATCCTTGTTATGGCCGTGGACAACCTAATGGAAGCCTATCGAGCATAATCATTGACCAATGGAGATGAAGATCTCTACCTCTTTCCTTCATCACTCCATACCTTACTTTCATCCTTCCAAATAAGCTTCTTAGTAGTTTGGATCTTCATCTTTGAGTCTCAATCTTTTCTTAAACATTTATACTAATCATCTAGGTTCTATGTAATTTAAATGTCATAATCAAAATAAGTAAAAATCAAAATAATGTTTCTTACATCAATTCTCTTTATATTACCCTTCTAACCATTCTAATATATATCAAGATTTATGAATATGTTATATTAATTAATTAATTTTTATATATTATAAGCAATTAAAATACAACATCTACTTCTTCCAAACCTAGACATCCTCTATCATGAGGCAATTTAACCATCTATGTCTTCTTCATCATCTCCATCTCTTTCTGCACCTTTCATTTGATCCAAATTTAATGTTTCAAAATTTGAAAGATTACTTAGAATAAATCTACCATCCTTTCTCTTGAATGCCTTGATCTACTTCTCAGCCACAAGTATCTTCAACATTATACCATCCAACTTGTAAAGCAAATAGGTGGCATTGTCATGCACTGCTACCACCATATATGGTCCAAACCATCTTCAAGCAAACTTTCTAAGAGTGCTATGTTGATGCTCTGAACTACTATCAAACACTGGCATCCAATTTCCAACTTCAATTGGTTTGGATCTTAAATGGTCAATATTGTCAAACCTCTCTCTGTTATTCAACTTAATAGCCTTTAGTTTTTCCAATATAAACTCTTGATCTTCATGTAAACTTTTAAGTTGCTGATTCTAGAACTCCAATAATCTCTCTCTTGTAATGCCATCCTTCCAATCTAGTAACATCCGAATAGGTACAAAATCATCCATAGGCATAATTAGTTTTTGGCCCAACATTAGTTCAATAGGCATATAACTAGTAATAGTGCTACAAGTGGTTTTATCTATCCATAAAGTAAATGATAGAAGTCTTAGCCATTGCCTTGGCTTATCTCTATAAGCTTTGACAAGAGCATTAATTGTGTTTCACTAGTGCAAATTCAAGCAATTTGTATTATCAGCCATATATAACAAGTAATTTGGTTGAACATAAATTTATACATTAGTAATTTTTTTTTCTTCTTCTTCTTTTTTCTTTTGGCAAGCATTTTAGCTAAGTATAAATTATCTAATAGAGTTGCATTTAGAAAATAAAAATCTTGTCTACTATAAATTTATATTGGATCCTTTGGCAAGCAAGGATTTTGGCTACTTGCATATGTCTATACTAGCATACATATGATAAGTAACAATTTTAGATAGTTATCTATATATGGACTTACATTTATTTGCTCTTGTTAGATCACCATGTTGGAGGTCTAAAGTGAAGCATTGTTTCTTGATTTTATAATTTAAATGTAAAATTATCATATACAAGATAAGATAAAACAAACACACATTTACTTTGCAAACAGTATATTCTAGTTTGTGAATATAACTCTTAGTTATTGATGCCAATTTTTAATTAAAAAAATAATGACTTATTTAGAAGCATAGTTTAGATTATTATGCTATTCTTGAATTAAATCAAAATAGTAAGAAGTTCTTAGATTTGAATCTTATAAATATTCTTACTTGCCAAGATTTTGATGTTTTTTATATTACTCCAAGATTCTACTATAACTACTACTTAAGTAAAAACCTAATAATGCATAAATGATAAATTGACCTCCATTTTTTATTGCTTGTATAAATATCCTAATTCTAAAAAATATAAATTTGATTTTTTTAATATTATTTATTTATTTATTTATTTATTTATTTATTTATTTATTAGACAAATAAAGTATAAATTTAGTAACATAAAATATTCCATCTATTTAAAGAATATATTATTTTAACCACAATAATCCTAAAATAGTAGAATTTGTTAGACATTTATTTAATACTATCAGACTTTTATGACCCTTTATAATTACTTTTATTAGTGAAATTTTAAAAATAATATTTCTAAAAGATAAAGATTATTTATTTATAGATTTTACATATATAAATTTAATATTTCTTAATAAAACTATCTTATGACACTTAGCATGATTATAATGATAAAAAAGAATTAGAGGCATTAAGATTTTTAAAATAGAAGTTTAAACTATAGGATTTTTAGATTCAAAACAATCTTTTATTAAAAATAAAAGCAAAGAGGTAGAAAGATAATAAATAGCAATAATATTATATATATATATATTTATTTATTATATAATATATAATATAAAAAAAAAAAATGGATTTTTCTAATACAAGCTTAATCTTTCTTCACAACATTGAGTTTTTTCTTGTGTTGTAATATAATTAAAGAATTCTCCATTAATCAACATATCTTCAACATTTGATTCTATGTTTTAATTACTCTTAAGCATGATTTTATGATAAAAAATTAATAAACATTGATAAATAATATATTTAAAAAATATTATGAATTTTGGTTGTATTCCAAAGTTTTGTATAATAATATAAAATTTTTATTTTTAGAAGTATATCAACTAAAAATTTTTTAAATTATTCAAAAATAGAATGTGTTAAACTTTACAAACTTTGTGGCACTTGTAATGCAAGAATTTATGGATTAATACTATTTTGCAATCCATGGATGCCAAATGTATTTAATTTATGAATAGGAATGAACAATGTAGTAAAAAAATACTTTATAAAAAGAAATATTATTTTTGTATTTAAAATTACACATCTTTAAAAAAATAGTTTAATTTAATAGAAAATATATTACAAACAACATAGATAATACACCAAACAATTATTGTGTTATTATATGTATTTGAAGTCAAAATCTACTATTGTAATTGTTGTTTTTAAACTTTGACATTGTAAAATTGGAATTGACCTTATTGCACTTATAATTGCTTAAATGCCTTTTTGGAGAAATTTGTTACATGCACATTATAAAATATTATGATTTAATTCTATGCTAAAGACACTAAAGACAAAAGACTACATCTATAATATAGCATTTTTCTTCTATACTTATTTACATAATATTAAAAAATTGATGAATACAATGTCATAAAAAACAAAAAAAGCAAACAAAAGCAATCAAAAATAAATTGTATTTTATTGTAGTGGTTTAGGATTAAAGAATTCAAAAACAATCCTTGGTGTTAGAAGATATCAAAAAACATCTACACTAAAAACAATCAAATTAAATTTCAAAAAAAAAATTGCATAATAAAATTAGTGTTAGCAACAAAAAAACGATCAGACATTTTACAAGTTTTAGTTAAAAAGATCTGTGAGAAAGGAAACCAAAAGACAATCAAACACTTCCGAGCATCATAAGTTGGCCCTAGACAAGTATGACCAGATAACAAGGTGGTTTACAGGCCAAAGCATGCAGATCCTTTCTGAGTGAACACTGTACACGGGATCGAATTGCTGATCTGGGCTATTAAGAATTATAAAAGAACCGAAAATATTATTATACATTGCGAAGGATGGTCAGTCAGGGCCAGAATTACTACATCTTATCAATAAAATCACAGATCTTTGGTACAAATGTTGATCTGCTCGACACAACTATTTGGATCTAAGCGTCCCATTTCTGTGCCCAAGTACAAACAAAATCTGCAACAATCCCTGGCTACCTCCTCGTTCTCACATCGAGTGGTTGTGCTCACACGATCCCCGCAGGTGGTCTACGTTTGGGGCTTACAACCGCCTGCGACTCCGCACTTCATCACGTCTGTCGCTAGATCCTCTATCATGAGTGTATTGCCGAGAGTCTCCACGAGAGAGCCAAATGTCCCTACCTCCAATGTTGGGTTCAGCTACTTGCTTCACTAACTTTTCCCTAGTTGATTCTTCTTCAACTTTACTTGGGATTTCGGCTACTCCAGAGGGTTGACTACCTGCAAAAAGGACGAAGCAAATGAGACAGGGCTCTTGTTGGGTACTCAATCCAACAAATGTCTGTAACCAAATAGGAAGAACTCGTTACCTGGAGAAAGCTGTGAATTCAATCCTAGATCTAGCTCTGGAATCATAGAAAAATCCACTCCTCCAGCATTAGTCATCTCATTTGCAGTTTTCTCCTTCACAACTTTCTTTGCTTTTCTATCTTTGTTGATTATCTCCAATCTTCGGAAGAATTCGTATTCCTCACGTACAGCATCATCCAAGAAGTTAGTCTGCTGCTTCTCTTGGTCGCCACTCCAAGGGTCCTTCAGCTCAGAGGCCTTCTCTGAGGTACCAGCCTCAGAATCAGTGCGTTCATTCATATATGTGTCTTCCTCATAGTAGATATCTGCCTCAACTCCATCATCCCTCTCTAAAGTAGCAAGAGCTGTTTGTGCCTTCTTAACTAGCGAATCAGAGCCGTGCTTCGACTTCTCTACAATCCGCTTAATCAACATCCTTCCGAACATCTCTTCAGCCTCCAATATTAGATTGTCCTCGCTAAAGATATTAACATCATCATACTCTGAGTTTTCTGCACACTGATGCTCAGGCTCTGATGCTCGAGATTGGCATTCCCAATCAGCTCCTAGTGCAGGACCAGGAGTTTCTCCTTCCATTAGACCTTCCCATCGAGCAATCTTTTCAAGCACCGTGGGACTTAGTTCCCCTGGCCACTGTACAGGTGCACTTTGAGGTGTCTTAAACAATTGTTTCACCTTATCAACAGGAGTAGTCAGTCCTGCCCGACTAACCCCAACCCAGGTTGACGGGTTTTCATCAGGAGGAACTTCAGACTCAGAAACTGGTCTAACTGCGGAATTTATGTATCTGACAGGATGAGTTTCGGATGGTCTGTAATCTGCAGTCTCTATTTCTGACATGTCAGAAACAGATTTAGACGATTCCATTGCTTCAGCGTATCTCACATCAGATGAACAGGGGTCTGCCGGTGAGGTGGATTCCCCTTTATGCAGACTTGCAATGAAAGCATAGTTGCCTAGATCTGAGTTGTATGACGTTCGTCTGCTTGGATAGGGCACTAAAAGCTTTGCACGAGGAAATAAGGAATCTTTAGTAGATGTTTCTATAGGATGATCCCAAGTATCTGAGATCGAGACAGAACTTGAGAAATGACCAACACTTGGGGTAGCACTGCCCATATCAACACTCTCCGCACGACCACCGTATGAATTCAATCCATGAACAGAATCAATAAGCTGCGTAATAATCTGAGCATTATCCAATATTGGTCTGCAGTCCCTAGCAGCCACTTCAGCCTGAGATGGCCCTTCTTCTTCAAATTCAATCATTGATCGCAAAAACTCATTGGAAACATCTTCACCACATGCTGCTAATCCATTGCCATGCAAACTCACTTCTCCTAAATTTTTGAGTTCCTGGACAAAACTAGTGACTGATAACGTTAACTCTAACTCTTATGGTTTCATGGACATGCGCAGAATCAAGTCATAACCTTCTTTTATCATCACTTTTGAGAAAACCAACTCAGTAGGATAAGTGCCATCTATAACTATGTCACAATCAAATCATAAGAGTATATGCCGACAATCACTATTAACTTACTTACATGGCATGTTGCTTTGAAACGTGACAAGTCAAAGAGGACCTATCAGTTCTGACAAAGTTGCAGTTTTGAAACCACCAAGCAAAACCTTAGTCGACATGAAAAGCAATTAAGTGAAGGCAACATTTGTAATTACCTGCTTTGCAGACTCCCTGTTCAAGCGGGTTTTCAACTCTCCTTGCAGTACAGGTTCTATGTGTGAACGTGGCCCTGCTAAATCTTTTTCTGTCGCATTGCCGCCAACTGATGTGCCATTTTCCTGCAATGGAGAGTGAATGCAATCTTTACCACTTTTCCGACCACTTGATACCTCCGTAATTTCTTCATTGGGGGTTGAGATTAAGCCGACCGGGACAATGCTCAGGTTAGGTGTACTTGGAGTCGCACATTCATCACCTGCAGTTTAAAACCCATTAAATAGGAACTTCCCGAGATTTAAAAGACCTCAAATACCTTCTGTACGTTATTGATTTGCAAAGTCGTAGTCACTAACGTTAATGTTGACCGCTCTACTTCGTGCAATAACTATGATAAACTGCAAGGCGACTAAGAGCAAGCAGATTGACTTCAGCAGCTGTTGGAATAGATTAAGAATTAATGACAGTAGCCAAAAAAGATGAAGGCTGAAGAGATACCTGAACCAGGAGCAAATGAAGCTTCGGTCAACCGCCTCACTTTGTCTTTCCACATCTCAAGCTCCTTCTCCATTAGTCGTAATTTTGACTGTGATTCTTCGAGGTCCTCTTCTAACTCAGTAATTAATTCATCTTGTCGAGCTGTCTGTATGTCATCAATTATTTCAACCATCACAATAAAGCACAGTGGACGCTCATTCAGCAGAGAAACAATCTCCCAGAGTCGCCAGAGGTGATCAGCATAAAATGAAATAAAATCAAGAATTAAACCAAAGTACTGCAGTGCACACTCTTGACGATACACCGTACAGCTTTGGACTGACCTGCAGTTTACGCAATAAACGCGTGAGTTCCCGTGGTGAAACTGCATAATTATTCAAGCATGCAGGCTGTGCCGGACCTGAGGGATCACCATCTGAGTCTTCTTCTAATCCAGCAGGCAGCCCTGCTGGCGCTAAATCACCGTAAAGAACCGATGCAACACCATCCATGTCCAGCTACGGCAACCATAAACATGAAAGTTTCCATCATATTGAATGGCTTCAAAATAAACTTTGGTGCCAGATTCTTGTAATACTCGCCCATTCACGAATCTCACTAATTACAAAAATAATCTCAAGTATTATCTACAAAGTAAATGCCACAATACCTCATCCAAGACAGAATATTGACTATCCATAGTTGCAGATTCCCCCCCAGTGAGTTGATCAAGTTCAGCCTCCAACTCCGCTTCAAGCTCAGCCATATGATCCTGCTGAATTGATTCGTACTCACTCTCTCTTAGTGCCTCATTTTTATTCGTGTGTACAGGACTTTTCCTCCTAGAAAATTCCGACTTCAGTGCTTCCAAGTTCATTTGCGTCTCCTCCAAAAGCTGGCTCAACTTTTCCACTTCAAGTTTTTGGGGGCCAGCACCCAACAGTACCCCAAGGCCCAGTCCAAAACTGAAAAGCAAGGTCTCAAAAGACACTGGTGAACCTGAGATAAAACGAGACATGAACGTCGGAGACGTATGTACGAATTTCAGTCAGTATAGTAGCAAACACGCACAAAAACATACGGTGCAACAACGAACTTCAGTTTGTCACCAAATCAATCGAACTCCCTTCCACCGTGACTTTCCGTACAAATTATCGATACAAAGTGCGAGAAGAAAACTCTCGACAAGTGTAAGAGTCAAAACAAATTATTGAATAACACAGGAAAAGAATATACAAATTCAAATTAAAAAAGGCTAGATATGTTTACAAAATGAGCTTGTCAAGTACCTTCTGTGCTCGATCTGTCAAGTTCTCCCTCGAAACCATTCGAATGAATGCGCCTAGAATCGGATACTTTCCGTTTCTTCAACAGAACTGGCAAAAGGGTAGTTTTATTGACGCCATCACTAAGACTGGTCGAAGCCAAGTCATTTGCAGAAACTCGTACAGAGTAATTGTCAATGTCGCTGCGACTTTCGCGCTTACTGGATGTTGCTAGCTTAACAGCGTATTCCTTCAAGAATTTTGAGAGATTAGGCAGACTTGGTAAACCACTGGAAACCGTAGATTGTCTGGATTTGGAACTGCTTTCATCAGCAGTATTGGCATTACTTGAAAGCAATGCAGCATTGCAATCAGTCACGCTTGCGTTATCACTTTTACCTTCCTCAGCTGAAGATGAGAAATTCAGCGGTCGAATAACAGACTTGATTCGCTTTATATCCAGTGCGTCTGCCATCTGAGCCCTGAGACAACTCTCCAAAGATGACACTGGCTTTGGAGAAGCTCTAAGGCCTCGCACTTTACGAGCCAAAGCTGTACCTTTGCTTATCTTACCCGGAGACCTTCCTATGTAATCTCCGCTGATCTGATCTCCAGCAGGAACCTTCCCGAAAAAACCAGCAGCATCGAACCCCAAGAAAGGGTCAGATTGGCCCATTAAACCCCATGCAAAAGCATCAGGCTGAGCGTCCGAGGGAGATATCTCCTCTCCTTCCAAACCGTCCTTAATTCTCTTCCCAGTCGATGAACTCCAAGTCATGTCACCTGAATCCGTGAAGTTAGACTTCCGTGCATCCTGCTGCCTTTTTCCAGGATTGTTGACTAACAGATTCATTTTACCGTTCCCAGTCATACCTTCTTTAACCTCGCAAACCGGATAACCTCTGCCGCAAGAATCCCTCTTCTTTTTAAGTGCGCTTCTCTTCAGTCGCTTCCAGGTTTTGTGTTTCTCAGGGTATTTCACCGCCTGAAAGACGTAGCCATATGGTTCCCTTAAGACAATGCCTGACGCTGCTCCGTTAAAGGAATTGGTAGAGTAAAAACCATCAGTCCCAGCAAGCTTAACTCTGTCATCCTCTTCGGTAGCGACATAATTGCCATCCAACGAGGCGTGACCCTCACGCACATGCGGTTCATCTTTGTTGCATGGCAATTTTGAAGTCAGATCAGAGACACTGCCAACGTTCAAAGAGGTGCCGACACACTCAGTAGCTGAGATCTCTTCGACTAGCTCAGCGCCACAGTCAGTCGCTGAACCGGGAAGAACTTCCTGGGATGTTGCATTCGTATCTTCCGTTACTTCGAACGTGTACTTTTCAAAATTCTCACCAAGAAACGATACATCAGCAACCACACCCGCATCAAGCAGTTCACCCTCCGGAGTAATGCTAGCTGCAACAAAGCCCTCAACTTCATCCAAGTATTCAGCAAGACAAGGAGCAGATTGGGACGACAATCTGCTGCGCCCTAATCCACTTGGAAAGGCAGGACTGGCTTTGTAACTTTCTACTTTTGAATGTTGCTCACTTCCACTAGCTCCAGATTCAGTATCTTCCTCTTCTTCGTATATTATCTCTTCTCTTGAACCTCGAAGAGAACTGATACAGCTATGTATAGTATCTTGCTTGGTTGCTCCACACGAACCTGCATCATCTTTCTTGTGAAGCTTCTCTAATTCAACTAGCCTTTTGTACTCTTCAATATGGTCAATGTCCTCCACATCCTCAAGCAGAGGCCTTCCTCTGAAAGAACCTCCATAATCATAACTAAGCCTCCTAGTGAATACTTTAGTAGGTAGAGATCTACTCCGTGAGACTTTCGCAGATGGAGACCTTCTGGGAGGTGTAGAACCATATAGCGCCTGCATTATGTTTAGACCACACAGTGAGCTCCACAATAACATGTGACTGTAGGATGTAAGCACAACATTACTCGAGTTTGAGATAAAATACAATCTTCAAGGTCCATTAAATGCAGTCCACTCTTGAGGATTCTATCACCATTTTATGGCTTCTTGCATGAGCGCGAAAATGATTTCCAACAATTCAATGTTCTAATAAGCGACAGGCACTCCCAGCTATCTCATCTTCGACGACACACTATACAACTCCAGTGGATGTTTAGACGATTACAATGTCATCTAGATCTACTCTCACTCCTCCTGAAATGTAACAAATGAATTTTAGAAATAAACATATTACGTAGAATATTGACCTCTCTCTTGCTGTTCTTGCCTCCCATTCATCCCGGGTAAGAAGATTTTGGTGTGGTTAACCTGATCCTTCTTGTCGGACATCTGCAAATTTTCTTCCTGCAAGATCCATTAAAAAATCTCATTCTTTTTTTGTTCAAGCTGTGCTTCTGTAATCGAACTTATCTCCAAGTAAAGACAAAACTGCCTCACGGAATAAGTTTCAAGCAAACCAAATAAACAAAGAGTAATTTTACAATAAAATATCAAGCTCATAAACAAGTACGGATTCACTAAAGCCTGATAGGATAAAGATGTCCATTAGATCCGTTCAAAGCATGAATAGATAATAATGAATCAAAATGAATAAATTGTCGAATGATTGGCTGAAATTATAAGTGTAGACCCGCCCTTCAGGCTCTTCCTCACTACGAATCCACACTTCTATCAATGCTAGCACGAAACCAAGAATCCAGCTTGAAAAGCTCAACAGCCTACGAATACATTGAGCTTCTTTTACAATAAAGAAGCCCTACGCAACCTAACCGTCACTGTATTTAGACCGAATCGAATACTGGAACCGTCGACACTGAGCTTCCATTAACGTGATGTCTACCAACGGCTCCTCTCCCAGCACTGACATGCGGGAGAAGAGCGGCGATTTATACCAGCAATTACTCGGGAATACAAGATTGAAAATTCTCGATAATATAAACACCAAAATGGAACGAGCCCTCGACCAAATCTACTTCAACATGTGTGACATCGGATGGAGATAAACACATCCACCACTCAATCACAGCTCGAGACCTAAAACGTGTCAGTGCGTCAGTCTACACAAAAACAGAACTGAGAACTACTATATTCTCCGAATTTAGCAGCCCCTGTCATACTAAACGAAGATGGTGCTTCACCTCAATCCAAATGCACAGAATACATGAGAATGAAGAACTTCGAGCTGTTATTTCAGAAAAAAGAACAACTGCCACAATTGCTTCTGCACTCGTTCTTCTTTCAGCACCATCCCCGGTGCATCCAATTCCGCGATCCTCAAGCATAAAAGACCGTCGCATCCAATGAGATAGTCTTCAGTCGGTATGATTTTGTAAGTATCGTAAACACATTTCAGACACCACAACAACCCGCCAACCACATCGGCAATGGCTCCCACGCAAATCGTATCCCGCAAGCAACTAACTCACAATCAACGCGCTAGAAACTGGTGAGCAGCATTTGAGGTCAAAAGACGTAGGATCTTGAAACTGTAGCGATCTCTCCAAGTCTCCGCTTTCTACACTCCGTCCCACAATCGAGATCCCGCTCCAACTCAACCATGCAACCTGTTTCCCGATCACGCACTCACGCGCTCACTCACAAGACCTTTCTCACCACCCACACCACGCCCTCAACCCCCCTCAGACCTCACAACCATAGCCTGACTGCGCCGCAGCCGAGCCTTCAACCCCACGAGTCGTAACTCTCAAACAGAAGATAAATTAGAGGGGAAAAAAAAAGATTATGCTACAGGTCTTGATGCCGGAGCTATCCCGTCAAACCTCTGACCGATCCGAATCTTCGCAGAAAGCAGCTCACACAAACCTCACAATCTCAACAGAACATCTCGCTGAACACTCTGCGATCAACATTCAGCTGCCATCAAGAAACACTCAACCTTAGACACTTCCTTACTCTCTTTCTCTCTATCTCCCCTTCTCCTGTCACAACGACCAGAAACTGCAATATCGCCAAAAGCTCACCTCGCGGGAGACGACGAGGTCAGAGCACGAAGCAGCAGGGAGCGAGACAGGCGGGAGAAGGGCCATGGCCATGGCGACGGCCCAGCTAAGCTTGTTTTGCGCGTAAGCGTGCTGCTGACGACGACGGCTGAGTAGCTGCATCCATTTTCTCGATGTAAATTGTTCACTAAACCGCAACCAGGCTTCTAAGCACAACTTCCACCACAGCCCGAATTACCAAAACCAACATCTGGTATATCATCTATGGCTGATGTGTGGTCCAGTCCGTTGTGCACAGCTACGGTTAATGATCCACGCTAAGGCTGCGGGCCTAAAGCAGAAAAGTGACCTTGTCCTGCATTCCACCATTGTACCAGTCCCAGCAGCTCGTACCTCGTCCATCCGCGTCGTCCGTCGCAAGTCCATCCACTCTATCCTCCGCTCCGCTCCTCCTCGCCGTGAGTCAGTCGTTACCATCTTCGTCGTCGTCATTTGTGCGAAAGGCGCGCGACGCTTTCGCGCATCGCGACGCTTGGTTGATGCCTGCTGCCCTTGCGAACGAAGCTGTCTGTCCTTTCTTTGGCCCGCCACAGCCCCCCTCCCCGCCCCCGCCCCGAAGTGCGTCCCCATTCGAATTTTGAACTGACAGGATCACGATTCCTCGCCCAGGTTTCACTTCTAGGGATGATGCTCTCTCTCACACCCCGCCCTCCTAAAGATTCTTCCCCCTTCCTGGTGCTGACCTGGACCCCCCCTCGATTTTTCCCCTCACACGGCCCAGGCAGCATATCGGGCAGGCTACACTAAACAAGAGGCTCTACTAAATTTGAGGCTACACTATAAATTGGCTTACTAGTTCCCCTTCAAAAGCTCTTTCCAACAGTCAATCCCCCTTGTTGACTTCCACTGTCTCACATGTGAACAAAATTGCTGTCTCTCTGAGCCCCCAATCCAGCTGTATTATGTATGTACTTGTTTGACTCTTGCAAATAGGGCAGAGTTCATGGGCTGGGTGTACAATAACAATTCTACTTTGTTTTTATTCCTTTTCCTATTGGATTGGCATTTAATTACTGCTTTTGCTTCCTTTCTTATCATGAATCAATTGCAATTTATGCATTTTATTCTTGAATGGGTCATTCTATTAACCCATGGATTAGGTTTAGGGTGGCAATCTTCAAGTCTGTGAGATTCTCCAGTGGATGTGATCAAACCTTTGTTTAGAAGCCCAGAGTGATCATCACTAGAAACACCATCCCTTTTCGTATCCACATTTTTGTATACTAGGTCTAGGGCTACTAAACCATAGGAATTCTGTAGTGGAGGGAAATCTGAACTTTAACTCAAAACCTGATGTGTGAATCATATGGCATTTTAGCATTAATTTTGTATGTACTAAAGTACAATGTTTTTCATATTAATATTATTTCATATGCTGACTATTAGAGACATTTACTGCACCCCCATTTTAGAAGTGATCTCGTCCAAGTATTTGTTGGAATGTACTTGTGTGCTGGTGGGGAGACAATTCTTGTTTGACTTTCCACTTGATTGTTTGATTTTGATTTTGATTTTTTCTTTATAGCACGGATAATCAATCGTGTAAGATATTTGTATATGTTATCTTTTTGAATAATAACATACTATTTTTCATACTAAAATGTGTCTGGGGTTCAAAGTCTGTATTATTATTTTTTGTTTTCCCATCCAAACAGGTGAAATACACATCACTCATGAAGCATAAAATATAGTACATGATATTTCTGTTATGCATTTAGATAATGAGATTGCAGATGATACATTCATATTTTGCCACCATTTTATCAACTAGTTGACGTTGTGAATGAATCAATAAATATTATTAGATGTATAAGCAGAGAGCACCAGGATTCCATGTTTAATGTTTGGATTTGCACCATATTCACATGTTTATATATATATATATATATATATACATGTGTAATTAATTAAAATATCAACACAGTGATAATGTTGTTTCAATTTAATGAGTCTAGAGTGCTGCATTTAAAATCTAAAGACCAATTTGGCATACTTATCTTGTAACAAATAATATTAAATTTAAGAACTTAATATGTGTACAATAAAGTGATTTTTTTAATCTGACCTATCTCTATTTAAGAAAAAACAGATTTCCAATCATTTTCCCATAATCTTCCTTGTTTTTAATGTCCAAATATTTTTGTTGTATGGGAAGGTAGAAAATGCAACTTATTCACATGACACTTTGCCTCAACATTGGATAATAGCACTTGCTGCAACAAGAGCATGTGCTTTAATACAAGCTTGCACAAGAAGCATCATTGTTCATTGTAATAATAAAGAAAATTAGCATCAATCATAAATCAATTACCAAGTCCACAAAACATGACCCATCACATATTAGGGGCTTTGAAGTATGTTAAGAAAAAGAAGCCAAACAATTACCTCTTTCACAACTTAATTTGCTTTTCTAATCATTCCCAGCTAAGCCTATTTCTTCATTTATTAATTCAAAATTGTTTCTCTAGGAATCTTAAAAAGCAAGACAAAGGCTTCTTTTAGAGGTATAAAGGGAACCCTAGATCTTGCAAAAGACAGCAAAGTCCCACTTTCCAACGGTATCTGCTTTCGGTTTGGATGAATGAATGTGTGTGTTCCATTTTTGACTCTCTCATCACTACTTATTTAACAAAAATTTTTTTAACGAAATTAAAAAAAAATTTACAAATTTAGGAAGGGTCATGAGCTCTCAACAAAAGATAGTAATATCTCCACTCAAAATTACGAAATATTTTTTTAACCTTTTCCATTACAAATTACCTTTTTCATGTATTTCATGCAGCCAATCCCTGAAAAGCCCCACTAGACTTGCCATTGCACTGTGGTATATCTGGATATCTCTCCTGTCCAATCAGAAAACTCCAAAGCATTCCCGTTTTTGTTATATTTAATAGTTTTCGGAACAATTTTAATTATAAATTTTCTTGTTTCTTAACTGTTTAGAAAAAGTCAAGTTGATAATTTTGAAACTCCAATACACAGCTCAAGTCTCTTTAAGCATGACGTGGATCAAGATATTCGATGATGTTGCGGATGAATGATGATATGGATGAATTCTGGATGGGAAGAGTGCCATTCCTCATCCGCCTGAGGGTTCCTTAATTAGAGTGTGAACAGGGGTGCGGGTTAGGTGATTATAATGAGGTCAATGGCATGCCTAACACATGGCTTTGTCCTGCACTGATATGAACCTGTGGATGAATGATTGACGAATGTAGTTCGTCGTCTAGTTGGAGGTTAAGCACAAAGTGACCCCCTTCTCAAAAAGATGCTTTTTCTTGCACAACCAATTCCCATCCTCACTTAAGAAATAGAAAGCAACAAATAGGAAGCGGAGAGGAGAAATGAAAATAAAAATTAATATACCGTGTGATGGATAGATGCTGTTTTATCAAAGGTATGTTAATTTTGGATGATAAGGTTGGATCGTCTTTTTATTTTTATTTTTATTCCTTTTCTGTTTTGGTTAATTTAATAGAGAAGCAACTTGGGGACTCTAATAATGTGAGTTGTCTTCTGAATTTCACAATAGCACTCGATTTTAGCAGTTTGGGTGTGCGAGCATGTGTACGTGTGTGGTATGGATTTTGAATGGGTGTGTGTAAATTCCTTCTTGAGTTTTCTGATACTTAAATAAACTGAATTGTTATTTGCAAGCACGGTTTAATGAAAAGAGAAACTGAAAACAGTCAAATATGATTGAAATTGATAGATCTCACTTGGAATTGCCTTCAGTAAAACCTAAATTTATTACATTTCATTGAGTTTGTGTAGTGAAGTAATGAATGTAACATTGGTTTTATTTTATTTTATTTATTATTATTTAAAAATATTTTTTAGAACATGTACCCTGCTCTGTGCACAGTCAGCATCCAGAGGTTGGAATCTGCAGACGTGGACCCTCCCCCACCCAACACATTTGGGCCATGCTGTTCAACTCTCTTCCACCGAATGGTTCCCCAACTGCTAAAGCTTCCCCACCAGTTTGAAACCCCTCAAAGTAAACCTGTTAGGGTTGCTCAGAAGTCCTTTTGTCTACTGTTCATAATTCACCTTTTTCCGCTGCTGTGCTGATGTAAAGTGAAGATAGCTTTTTTCATGCAGTCTTCAATTGACAGGAGAGATGAAGGAAATGGGTAGGCAGACACCTCCTTGGCTGTTACGTCTTCTGCTGGCTTTTAGTGTGGAGGAGAAGATTCTTCTGACTAAGCACATGGGTTTTGCCACTACTGGAGCCTTGACGCAGTGCGAGAATAGTATCTAATTTTGCTACAAGCACCGCAGGTCTTCGTTGAGAGCATCTGCAGCATGTACAAGAAACACAGCAAATCCTTTGCCTCATTTAAAAAAAAATGAACTGATATTATCTGGTAGCTCGCATCGAGCTGGGCTCACAGTCGAACCAGAACAATGCTGGTCCTTTGTGGTGATGGTTCTGAAAGAAGAGATCACTGTAGCTCGACCTAACTTTTCCTAAACTCCCTGGACGAGGTTTGAATGTAATCCTCGACTGGTGCAGTACTTGTGGCACAATATGCGAGTCATGCCTTTCACTGACTTCGAATCCTCCGAAACGGGATTCTCGGGGACTGTCCGAGATTTAGCCAGACTCTGAAGCAGCAGTGGCCTTTGTGTTCTGCCAATTTGTGTTGAGTAGTTTGCAACACCAGTGTGGACAAGTGGCATAATCAAGGCACAGGGTGTCTTCTTGCACAATGGATTGAATATTTGTGCAGGTGAGATTTCGTTCAGATTGTGTTGCAAATGCATTCTCTGTTCACAGATGATGCACGTTTTCTGAATACTATGCTTGGCATCCTGTGAGAATTGTTGAGCAAGAGAGCACATCGATTCTGAGACATAAATCAATGCTCAGGGCAATAGCTTTATTTATCGGTTCCAAACAGCTCGATGAAATCCCAATAGCTGATCATGCAAACTAGACTATACACACATCATAGACTCCCACAAAGTAGTTGAGATAAATATAAACAATTCCACGCCTTTAGAAAATACCCACTGAGTGGGACGATGTATCAGATCCACTGGAATTAAGAAGCATGAAGGCATTGAAGCTGATCGCAAACCGTTTTCGAAATGTTCTGATGTGATGGGCAGAAAATGTATCACACATTCCGCCCAACCTCGTGATGATGAGTGAGGAATCCTGTCATAGGTCACGGTGACAGCTTCCAAGGGAATATCAGCTTCGCAAGGCTCTCATACAACTTGGAGGAAAATGATAAAGCTCTAAGATGTCAAGGTCAAGGTAGAACACTAAATTTGACATTGTGGTTGGTGGATTAGACAGTGATGAAGCTGACTTCCTGTTCAGTGATGCATTTGCAAGTTTATCAGTAGGAACACCTTTATTGATTTCTTTGTTTATTATAGGATAAAACGCGCATCTTCAGGTGGCTGCGTCCTGCCAATCTCGGCACCATCACGTCACAACTACAAATACGGACACGGCCTGCCAACTTTATGGCCAAGGACTGGTGCATGTCTCCATGCAAACTGTGTGCCCAGAAACCTGCAACTCACTCTGGCAATACGTTACTCACCACCACCACTGTCGCCAGAACAGCCGGTGTGGCAATACTCAAGGAAAACAGCGTGGAAATAACAACATAATACACGGATCTATACAATTACCGTGGACGTGAAAGTGAGACGCTGCTGGAAGTATTGCAGGCACTGAAAGTTTCATTTGAACCATCAAGTCAACTTCCCAATAATGCAATGCGCATATCATCATACAACAGACATCCCCTTGAAACAGCAGAACTAGGAGGCTGAATGTTAAGAGCCCAGAAACCCAAAGAAGGTTCAAGACATGACTATCCAGCACAGCTTACAAGATTAAAATACAGTTGAGGAACTTGCCAAAACCCATCATTTCATTGGGATTGCCGAGGAATTCAATGACAATCTTCACTAAGAACCTACATCAGGGTTGAGTTCCCAAAAACAGATTTCTGCATTGCAGACAGAGACAAAGTCCGATAGAAAGAAGAGGGAGAGAAAGGGAGTAGACCTAGGATACTGCTATATACGGAAATCAAGGGATGGGGCGAGTTCTGAACTCCCACGGCAAGCGAAAGAATCTAGAAAACATACCGCTTGCCCAAGATTTGTGCTTCTGCAACCCTGCAATGGCGTTGAGCTGAAACAGAATGCAGCAGCATCAGAAAATGCCCCATCCATGTAGGACAGAAGGAACCTACTGTTCTTTCCAGATACGTCCCGTCACCCTAAGTTTGAGTTCCTTTCGATCACCACCTGAGAAAAAAAGTGCCATATTCCTTTGGATGATGAGACCGTCATGACTATCCCGCACTTTGCGATGACTGTCACGAATACTACGTGGTACTCCTTGCCATATCAACTTTCGTCCGTTTGCTCCGACCTCCAAACTGTAGCTGAAATTTTTTGCCTCATTATCATCCCCCATAAAACGCAAAAAAGCCATGTAGACAGGGGCCATTCCAAGCTGAAAGGCCTCAAAATGAAGACAAAAATGCTGACCAAAGCAATTGAATACCTGTATCACACCCCCAAAAAACTCAATTTTATGTCAGTGCACAAGTTCTCTAGAAAAGATCAAATTCGCCCAGACCCTGCACTGCTTGCTAACTCCAGCTGTGAATGAGAACGTTCCAAACTTAATAATATCTCAAAAGAAAATGAAGGGAATCTTGTCCCCCATTAAATGAAAACACCTGATTTAAGAGTTCGATTCAGGACGTAGAAATTACAAGCAGATTATTACGCAAACTATCTTTCCACTAATTGATAAAAAGAAACTCAGAGATATGGCTTGCTGGTATTACCGTTAGCATCCAGGTTGCGTTCTCGACCTCTTGTGGGTTAGACTTCACATAGCGATGATTGAAAGTGCATCCATTGTGCATATCAACTTTGTGTTCATCTCTCAGATGAGCCACAAGCCATGGGATGTCACCAGTTACCGAGCACTCTGAACCTGCATATGGACAATTGTACGGCCGATAGGTACACTGGGCCTCGTGCTTAAGTTTACTGTAATAAGGAAATATATCTGGACACCCCAGACTTTGGTACCTACACGGCAACTCTAGAGACTCGGCCACCTTTTCAAGGGCCAGGCATCGGATATTCCCAAGCTCATATCTGCAGGTTGGGCAGCGATTGTGCACCCTTTGCTTGCAGTTGGAACACAATGTGTGTCCGTTTGGGCACTGCAGACATGAAAGGTCACAACGATGATGATAGTCAAAAGGGACTGAAATTCACCAGGAGACCAAAAGAGGAACAGCGCAAAACAAACTGACACGACCTTATCCATAACTTAACAATCGATACAAGATAGGCCACGCTCATCGCACTACAATTTCCATTCGTATAGAATGATCAACTGCGGAATCTAAACAAGATGCAGACAGCTGCTTAAGAAAACACTACAAATGGAGCTTGGCGACATCAAGACATCATATAGGGGCTCCTAGAGCGGAATATGCATACAAGCATAAAGATTTAGCACCAGTAGCAATCTGCATTGAGAGAATGCATAGATTTTGGCATTCATCCAAACACAAATATAATCTGCTTGTGGGGCTACAAATCGCATAATAGTACGCCAACCCTTTTCCCGTAACTGAACCGTAGAAGAAACATTAATCTATTGAACATTAATTTCATAGGCACTTCCAATGAGTTCCGAATCGAATCTACCCAAATTGCCCTAGTATGTTCAGATGACATACCTGATGAATGGGTGGGTACATAGAGTTGGTGCACACGGGACACTCCAGAAGTTCATGGACGCTACTAGATGGTGTCCCAGCTGATTTTCGAGTCACAGTCGAAGTGCTTTTCGGAACAACTCCGGACTCCGTCTCTGACTCCGTGCTTGAAGGAGTGTCACCCTCCCGAATTGGTGATTCTGGTATTTCGATCTTCATGTTAGACGGAGCCATTCTGATCACAACGGAATATTCCAAAAATGTTGAAGATTTGTAATTCGCCAACACTGTTCCTACTTTCCCAGTTACTAAGGCGGACTGAGCCACCGTTCAGAATGTCGGGATCAGCGAACTAGTTGGTTAGATCAAGGAAAAACAGTTATATGTTAGCACCAAAGCGTCTAAACCTGCAAACAATTTCTTTGGAACTGAGCGACTCTTACTCAGTCCATTTGAGTTGGCTGCTAATCCTGTTCCTAATATTAGGAACCTCAATGTTGTGAGACATTAGTCCGCATCACACGAATCTCGAGAGATTATGGCCAACTCTCATGATCGCATGCGGAAAAAGCTCTGCTTTGGTGGGCGACCTGATGCAGAAATCCAGTCACAGCAACTTTCCAAATCAGAATTACGAGCCCCAGCCATCCTTAACTTTAATCGGACCTTCCCGTAACATATTGAAGATTATCCAAGTATGCACAAATTCTACTTCCGGCCGATTACACTATAATTCGCGACTCCCTGCAACAGCTCTGGCACCCTGAAACACATACACAGATGTGGACTGAGTATAATGCGCTAAATAAATCCTCCCGCCTTTTCCTCCGAACCTAGCAAAACTGCTAAACCAAACGAACTCCCAGCCAACCTCGAATATGAACCACTAACCATTCCCGAATTCTAACTTAGGGCTTAATGTCCGCACACAAGTGCAAGCCACAATCCGAATTGAGTCCGGTTGATCTCACTCGTCTCTAATCGATCCAATCTACCTACACCATCAGTCCCCTACTAGCACGCGAACAATAACGAAGCCAGACATCCCACCACCAATCCACCTCGATCCTTTCCCTACTACTTCGGATCCATCCCGTCCTACCAACTGCTACTATCCATCAGCAAATCTAACTAGCTCAACGAACGGTCCCTGTAACCTTCGGCGCACTCCCCTCTCCGGACTCCTAAATCACACTTCACAGCCCCTGGCTGCGACGAGGAAGGCTCCCGCCCTACGGTCCCCGAACAAACTCCTGTTTAAACTCGTTCACATCCCAGGATCAAGCTCCAACAGCCGCAACAACCCGCTCCCGACCGGCTCCCTGTACACTCGAAACCGTCTTCCGCACCGTCAAACAGTTGAAACGAAAGGATCCTCAAGTGGCAACAAACGGGTGACAAAATGGTGCGTCCAAACCCTATCCCAAGCGCCAAAAATCTAACGCACAACCTACAGAACTCAGCTCCGCCAAACGCAGCAAGGCAACCAATGTCACAATCGGCATCTCCACCATGCGGGTGCAAAATGCCAGCAGCAGCATTAACCGAACCACGGAACAAGGGAAAGAGCAAAAGGAAGGGGCTCGTGTAGGGGAGAAGCGGCCATAGCCGGCTCTACGAACAGAATGGCCGAGGGGGGGGGGAGGGGTAGCTATGGCGGGGGACTCTCTTCCTTGCTTGCTTGCTGCTCTCTCTCTCTCTCTCTCTCTCTCTCTCGCTCTCACTCGCTTTGCGAGTCCAGTCGAGTCAAGGGCTGGGCCTTGAGTGGATTGGGGTGACGGGACCCGGCTTTTCGCCGGGTCCCAGAAGCGATAAGCCGGGTGCGGGTGCTTGGTGAGAGGTGGCCGCCCGTGCTGCGTCTGCGGGCGCCAGCCCTGCGAACCAGCGGGTAACCCTCCTCGCCAGCTCTTTCCTTTTATCGCCTCCCTCTGACGAGCGCCCGCGGCTGCGGCGCCTGCGTCTCCGCCTTGTCAGAGAAGTTCTGATACGAGCCCCCGCTGCCTGTCGCCTGCTCGGATTTCCTTTTACTTTTTTACTTTTTTACCTCCATTATTTGTGTATTTTTAAAACCCTGGATTCTTCTGTACACCCGAGTGTCAGAATGTAGCCTTGGAGAACACCAAAACCTGACTCCAAAGAGATTCTGAAACGATACTGTGTTGGCCATCAGACTATCTATCCAAGCACCCGGTTTCCACATGATGTAAGCAAATTATTTTGTGATTGGTGCAGGTCAATTGGCCTGGACCTAGTCACTGAAGAACAAGAAGACTCAGCTTGGGAATGTTGTAGATGCCATTCTGGCATCAATTTGCCAGAAAAGATGGGTCTGGACCTGGGCTCAATACCTGACACACCAACACCCACACAGACACCCATTTAGGGTTTGGAATTCCTCGGGTTCTGATAGTGGGAATATTCTGATACCAACCAGGATTTATGACCATTCCGAGGGTCAAGTTTGTGAGAGTTCCCACTTTCATTTTGTGGGTCATTGGACAATGTTGCTGCTCCACCTTCGGTTAGTTGTTGGCCCACTTGGGGATATCATGTTGAGTCAACCGCAAATGTTTTTTGTATTAGAATGTGGTCACAAAAAGGGTTTTCTGTCTCCAGTGGTCACATGACTCTAAATTTTTATTATCTCATTGGAACAACGAGTGATGTGTTTCAAGGTTTGAGCATTTTGCTGACCTTTTAGTGGTTGTTGAAAGCTCTCCAAAAGTGTTGTAGCAGTAGTTGGCTTAGGTTCTAGTCAGTTAGTACATTGAACTTTTTGCATGCAATTGGTTTAGAGTGAACTAAGGTGGTTGTGTGTTTGTAGCAATGGCATCAAATCGTACTTGCTAAGATCATGATGGTGATTAGAATATGAGGGAGAAATGTATCACTCAAAAAGTAAAGTGAAGATGCATAGAGGTGTTCTTTGTCATATTTCTAAAAAAATTAATAACACTTTCTTTTGTATTTTTTTGGCCTCTTTTATAATGTATAAATTCAGCATAGTTAGTTTTGTTATTTTATTATTTCAAATAATCAAAAAAACAAAAAAACATATAGTAATTCTTAATGAGTTATTAATTTAACTATTGAATTATTAATCAATAGCTTTTATATCTATTTGAAGGTCTGCAAAATAATCCAAAATTTGTTTAATAAAAATACACTAATTAAATATTAATGATTCTTTATTTTCTAATACAAATGTGTGTTTATATATTTCAATCATACTATTTTATAAATATCAATTAAAAAGAAATATACTTATATAGTTTGTAAAAACTACAAAACTTAGAAGATTCATTTGATTTTTTTTTTAAAGTGTATTGATGCTTGTACATTATTATTATTTTTTATAATCAAGTGATTAAAATTTTTATAAACATATAAAAATATATATATATATAACAATGAAATCAATAGATTAGTTGATTAAATTTTAGTACTAATCCATCAAAAGTTTAAAGATATTTATTTTCCTAGTCAATAGAAAGTAGATGTTGTATTTCATGTGACTCAACATGGTTCTTAAAACATTAATATTTACTAAACTAGTCAAAAAAATATAACATACCTACACATCCAACCTTGTAAGATCTTTGTGCCTTTATGATTTTTTAATATCTTAATATAATTTATAGCATAAGTCTTACACTTCCAACAAGATAGATTCTATTAATGTTATATAATCTTACAAGAATATAGAAGATATTAAGGAAATAATAATATTATTATCATTATTATTGTAATTTATAAATTAGTGATTTTATAATATAAAACCAATAAAATTTGAATAAAAAATAACCAATAAATCTTATGATTTTTTTTATGTTTTTAAAATTATATTATGATCAACACATAGTATTTAAAAAACTAATAAATGACTTTGTAATTGGTACAATGTTTATTACTCTTGGCAACATTTAAGTTATCTATAAAAATATCTAACAAGTTGTTTTAAAACATATATTTTAGCAACTTGTGTATTAATTTTGTAATTGATATTGTTTAGTTAAAATTCATATTATATATATATATATATATATATATATATATATATAAACCACTATCTTTCTATTCAAGAATACAGAAATTACTTTAATAATTTTAATTAAAAATTAATGTGAAGAGTATTACTACAATTATATGGAAGTCTAAATTTAAGTCTAAAATAGGCAATTGGAGTCTAAATAATATTCTTTGGCTAGAAATAAGAACAGAGTTGTTTCGTAAAATTTTATTATGAATTCTTGTTTATACAAATTTGGTTGGAAGACAATATTTCCACATCATTTGTTTGTTTGTTTGTTTTTTCTTTCTCTTTCTGGTCTTGTAATCCTTTCAAATATTTTAAATTACTACTCAACAATAACTATATAAGCTTGGATTACAGTTGAAATCTGAGTGTTTAAAAAACTCAGAAACAAAATTGCGTACCTCCTTAAAATAAAACTTTTCAAATTTATTTAGCCCTTTGAAGTTCATCCACAACTATTTTTTTATTTATTTTTCATTGAATATAAATTCTTGTCACCAGTCATAAACACTTCTGTTTATATCACATCTTTTTACTTTTATGAAATAACATAAAAACACAAGCTATTACTTTCAACCAAATCTTATAATACCGGCTCATACATTGACCCGGGTCCATAAAACATTTTGATATATTTTTTTAATCTTATTTCTATTGTTACAGATCATAATCACATAAAACTTGCAACATCTATGAACATTAGAAGTAATTCGCCTATGTATGGAATCTCAAATGCTTGTCAGCTGGGGCATAATCATAAGACAATACAAAAAACCACAAGAGACTAGCTTGTAAGTTTGCAAGGTGCTGTAGATCACAACCTGCATTCAATTTGTGATAATTCTCTCAACTCAACTGCTCAAAAAGAATTGCAGATAGGTGAAGATACCTTCATTTAAGACAAAGAATGATTGCTTCAGTCAAATCTGCCTTCACTGTAGAAATACAGGACATCCTTACACATTCCCTACAAAGATACACAAAATAACAACACACTGATTACAAAGGAACCCAGATTTGGTAAATGGTACAACATGAATCTACACGGCCAAGTATGCAAGCAAAGTATGTAGGTGTAGGCTTCAGTCTTTCTGACATAAGTATGTAACAATGTTGAGTAGAGCAGGTGACAAAGTTAGGTCCCTCCTCAGCCATACAATTGTGACCTCATAGAGCTTACAATCACACAGATTGATGTGCATTCAGTGAGCTCAAGTGCTTCGTCACATTGACAAATACAAGTAGTGCCAGTTGGGTAGTCGTCTCTTGAACTAAGTCTACACTGTGGGTCAAATGTACTTCTCATTTTGACACATGAAGCAAAGCGAGAATGGTGGAATAGTCTTCACAATTGAATGAAATCAACATACGTAATGAGCTCAATTGATTTTGATGACCTAGCTTTTGCGACTTCCGCTGAAGAAGCATTCCAGACTCAGTTTTGTTTGATGGGGAAATGAATATGGCAAAAGTGCTCAAACCTTGATTGCTGTCTACGCCATTGGTGGGTTTTCCAAAGCATGAATGCACAGAATCAGCTGCCAATTGCAGTGCAGGCGAGCCTGCTCTCAGTGCGCGACTGTTTATTTTACTTACCAAAACAGGGCTGGGGAAACTCTGGCTTGGTCATTGTATCTTAATTCGTCATCACGACACCAAAATTTTGGACATCGACGTCACGAATCCTACAGACAGAAGTCTCTGCATCAAACAAACAAGACGCTCACGATCAAGTTGTGAATACTGTATTCTACTGGAACAATGAGACACGCTATATATATATATATATATATATATATATTGCTTTTATCCCGGTGAAAAAGACTGACCGAGACAAGCGTGCGTATCAAAGGGAAACTTCATCGCCAAATTCACACAAATCGCGAAACATGTTAATAACCCACATAGACTTCTGTACCGATCCAACCGCATTTGCTCGCTAATCTCAGCAGAACACCCTGGAGCTCTGAACTGGGTAAAAGCCATCAAGAAACAAATAATTAGAACTGCACAGCATGCATCGAAACCACACAGCTCGGACTTCGAGCAATGCGCGAATGATAAGCTGCACTGAACACGAGAAAATAAGATCACTTTAGGGTAGAAGTCAATAAAGGGAGCCTGTAACCGCGACATGCAGCCGTAGATTGAAAAATCAGGAGAAAGTCTGGAATCTTTCAGCGTACGCAGCAATGGCAACCACTCCCACAAAAAAGACTGCCTTAGAAATCACGCTTTCAGTTTCTAGATCTCGGAAGCAAACTGTGCATATAATTGTAAAGCGGGTCCAGAGCCATAGATGCGTTTTGTTTTTTGGTTCCGTACTGGGTTCACTTCACTGGAATATTGTTACGGAAGTCCTATAACAGCTTGGAGAGGGTGGAGAACTTCTGGCAGTTTGATGCATGTGGACTTGAAGAAAGAGTGCTGTAATTTCTATAGTGAGTTCGATCGGAAGACTGACAGTGGCAGTGGTAGTGAATCCAGTGGAGTATCAGGATGATACCGGCTCAGTTTCCTACGCCACCGGAGTCTCAGGCTTTGAATATAGCTACCTCTCAGTTTTCGGCACTAGCTAACTCGCACCGCTATGTCCATTGCATAGTGAAGCTTGGTGAGCTTTCCTGCTGCTCTCAGCATGAGTGCTCTGCGCTAAAATTGGGTTTTATTTACGCTTCTAATGGTTTGACTTATTTTTTATATTTTATGTCTTGGTACATTGTATCGACAGTGATCGTTTAACATTTCTTGTCATATCTGTGAACTGGCTTTGGATTTGAAGGTCTTTGAGATGCTTGACAGAATTGGGGACAGCTGCAGTTTAAATCTGGCTTCATAAGATGGAGAGATTGAGCATGAGGGAATAATGCTGAGACTTTGGATTTACAATGTCTTAAACGATCTGAGTTGAAGATTGAAAGGGATGAAAATGAACCTCATTAAGCAGAAGAAAGTGGTGATTGTACAAAGTTGAAAGCAAGTGCATGCAAATTTTCGTAGGAGATATGAGAGATCAGCCATGGCACCAGGCCGTGCTTGATGCATCTTCGCAAGAGACTTTTGCACTGTGAATTATAGAATGCTTATTTCGTTGATTTCTTCTTGTTACAATTTGAAGTGGTATTCATAAGTTGCTGTCAGTATGGAGTGCGTATTTGTAAGTTGCTGCAACCTTGCGAATTTCTGTTACCATCGTTAAAATTGCAACACGTGTTCTTGTGTTAGGTGGGGCAGCTATCACTCGGAAAGACGAACTGGAGACAGTGAATGATCCTGTGCTATCAGCTACAACATTGCATTTAAGAGAGGCTATGGGACTTTCCTACACAAATGTGTCAATGGATTGGAGCAGAAGAAATGGCTCATCGATAGTGGATCTCGTTCCCAACAGCACTGATCAACATTTGGGCTTTCAAAATCCGTTTGTCGTTGTTCATGGTGCAGGTTGGTGAGTGCCTCCAGTGAGATTGCGACTTTATGTGGATCCTCCGCATGTACATAGAGTTTTCTGAGATTTTCTGGGTTGGCATTTGTTCGCTGCTTATTGAAGGAGTCACCTTATCAACATCATGTTGCCTCAATTTCTTGCGATCAACACCGCCACCTGCTTTGAGTTGGTCTCTATTTTTTCCTTTGCCTCTTATTGGAAATTACTGACATCTATGAGAACAATCGATATTTTACTTCGGTTATTGGGTGCCGCACGCTTATTTCGTATTTGAACAGGTTCTTATGGTCACTTCCAAGCTAGTAAGTCAGGAGTGAACAAAGGCGACCTGAAAAATCCCTTGGTGAAGGCTGGGTTCGTTGCCACCCGCATTTCAGTAAGTTTTCACATTCACGGTTTTCTGAATGGTTTCCTACCTCTTCGTCATGTCTCTCTGCTTTCTATCGGCTTTAGTTAGAGCTTATGTTTATTCATTACCTCCTCGATTCACAGGTGACTAAGCTGAATCAGGGTGTCGTGCGATCCTTGGCTTTAGGTAAAGATTTGCTATCCATGCACTTTCAGAATTTTTTTTTTTTTTTTTTTTTGAGAAAATCGAGTTGTAAGCAACTTCGAGTTGTTTCATCTATCCTATTGTGGTTCAGAGGGCATTCCTGCTGTGGGCATATCCCCCTTTTCTGCCGGCTGGTCCACTCAAAATAAAGCGGTATCTATCTTATTCATTTAGCATTTGTTTCCCAACCAACGTTTCCCATCAATTGATGTTACGAAATACTTGTGACTCCATCTTAACATCCCTGACGTGCTGCCCCCGATGACATGACAGTTGGTTTCAACATTTTACTAACGACCTTTTGTGCTCCATGCTGGCAGTTGAAACGTGACAATGTCTTGGAAGTTCAGCGAGCAGTCGATGCAGGCTTCGTTCCTGTACATCTTCCTCTTAAAAACTTGCACACACCTCGCTCTGCACTAATTTACCGTTGTGTTTGCTTACAAACTTTTATTTTTAAGGGCACATTGAAGATTACTTTCAAAGTACGCAAAGAACCTATTTCTTATTAATACGTGACACAGAGCAAATGTTAACCATTTACCTCGTTCTGAGATGCAGGTGGTTCATGGAGATGCAGTACTGGATAGTACCCTGGTGAGCATTTTGAGCATTATGTTTTAATTTAGTTGCAATCAAATAATCAATTAAATAATCAAAAATCAAATAAGTAATTCGTATTATCGGATGCGGCCTGGTTGTTTGATTTGCAGGGGTGCACAATTCTTAGTGGAGATGTTCTCGTCAGTCGACTTGCTCAAGTCATAAAACCCAACTTCGTTGTTTTTTTAGTATCCTGCTTGGATTAATGCAATCTCTGCACAACCTCTATTTGCTGGTTCTGCACTTGAGATAGGTCATGAAGTAAGAACATATGAATCCCTGTAGGATGAGACCTTGACCAGAATTTTCATACCAATGTTCCTGGTGTATTCGATCGCTCCCCTGAGCAACCAGGTGCTACGCTTCTGAGAGAAATTGGTGAGCCCTTTGTTTCCTGTGTACTGTGTCTTGGAGTACAGCTCCAAGCAAAGCTGTCTTGCCTCCAGGTGGATATGCGCAGCTTCTTACGTAGTTGTTAGTGTAATGTGTTTTCTTGTAAGATTCTAACTTTGGGTCTCAAGCCAGATCTGATCATCCACACAACACTAGCGAATAAAACTTCGTGAAAATATCACGGCATTTCCCAGGAGGCTGTATATATGCTTAACGTCTTGATAATTGCGTTGTATCATACTTTTTGGCAGTGGTTTATGAGGACTCTAGTTGGACAATTGTTGATCCCCCTTTAGGGATAGGCAGCAACGGTGGAGGTATGATTTCTGGGATTTGTTCGAAGTGTCAGGGTTTGGTGCATTCTGAATGTACACGTTCTATTGTTTATCCGCTGAAACTGTGTGTGATTTTTGAACTCGTATTTATTGCTTCCCGTACATCGGACCTTTCTGGTAGTAATATTAGTTAAATCAAACTGCAACTTAAAGAACCAGCCAACAGTAACTTGCTTTTAAAATCTGTGGTCAGTATAGCTGAGACTACTAACACACCAGTATGTTGTGCAATTTGTCTCGATAGCAGTGGAAACAGCTGTGGCTGCTCACGACACCACTGGAGGCATGTCCACCAAAATTGCCGAAGCTGCTTCAATTGCTGCTATGGGTATTGACGTCTTCATTGTGGAGGTAATTAACGTTAACTTTGTTTAATTCTGTTTATTTGGTAGTTCATATTACCAACAAATTGCAATCTTCTCCCTTGGAAACTTCAAAATAATAAACTCTCAAACAAGTTATTCATGTTACATGTGCTTGCGTTCTTCACTTGTCTTAAAAACACTGATAGAATTCTTTGTTCACCTGGTGCTTATTAGGCAGGAACTCCTCATGCTTTAGAAGCTTTGAGAGGAAAGGTGAAAAATCTGAAGAGCAACAAATCCTGGACTGGTACTCTGATCAGAAACGCTCTCGGTCAAACCTCCTGATTAGTACACTTCAGTGAAGGTCGTATCCAATGTTCCTCTTGATTATCGAAGTTCAGGAAGATGATGAATTGAATATGTATCACCACCGCGCCAGCTCATTTATTGTGGTTGTAGGAGTGCACTGCTTCAGTCAATGTACTTGATGTTCTGCTCAATCAATTACTTGATGTGGGTCTATTTCTAATTGTTGACTTAAGCACGCTATTTATTATCTTCTGATATAAACTACAATTGAAAATTGTAAGTCTATCGAGCATGAATTATAGATGTGATGATTCCACAAAAAAGATGTTTTGGTGTTACTACGAGAGATTGTCTTGTGAGATACACTGCCATTCCAACACACTGAGTTGCAAAATACAATTTTTCTTGTTGTATTTGGGAATGCATTTTTAAATTGAGAGGCATCAAAGGATGAAAATAGATTGGAGGTTTGTTTTCAAAAGTTTTATATTGAAAATAATTTTCTTATGTGGGGATAATTTTTAAAGGATTCAATGTGTTCAATAGGAGGGAGAATGGAGGAAGTTAATGTATGAAATCTCTTTGAATTATTTCTTTTAGAATGCGCAATTTTCTTAGATGTGTTATTAAGCATTCATACTTTTTCATCTATAGGTTTTTTGATCATTAATAGCATTTTATTTTATTTTATTTTATTTTTTGTTGTTGTTGTGAAGTGCTAATAAAAAGAAGGGGTCATTTAAGGTCCAATTTAGGTTAGAATGCATATATTCTTAGGTTTGTTAATAATTTATTAATTTGATTGAAGTTATCAAAATTTTCTTATGTTGTAATATCATATATGCACATGTTTTCATTTTATCATTCTTTATATTTTAATGTTCAATGTATACAATTCTAAGAACAAGATGAAGTTTGAGATTTAATCAAATAATAATTATTTTAGTTAAAATAAACAATGTCTTTTTCTTTTGTTGCAATAAATACTGTATTCAAGTGAAATTTATTACACTAAACATTGATTATTTTTAGTATTCTGCACTAAAAGTAATTGATTTTCTTATTATAATCTACCAAATGAATATTATAAATAAGTGCAAAAGAATGAAGTACAAGTTTACACACTAATACAGGCAACAACAATTTTTGGGAATATATTAAGCATTCAATAAAATGAAATTGAAAGCAAAAATACAGCATTGAAGGAAAAATGTAACGAATCATAATTTATCAAGTTGTTTTTTAAATAAAAATTTCAATAAACATGTTGACATCTGTGTTTGCAAAATACAAACTTTGTAACTTTAAATATTCAAAACAGATGTTTAAAGATTTAGAGTTTTCATATATAAAAACTTTGATTTGTGCAACCTAAATTTTCAAGTTTGTTTCTAAAATAAGACGTGTTTTTATTTGTGTATTTTATTTGTGTAATTAGATAATGATTTAGGGTTTAAGAAATTATTTAGTTGCCAAGAAATTTTAAGCATAAATTAGAATTTAAAATATGTAATATATGTTGTAAAATTAATGTATTATTTTTTAAGCTTTTTTAATTTTAATTTATTTTTTAAAATATTATTATTTTAAATTAAATTTTTATTTTTGGTATTTTGATTAAAGATAATAAATAAATAAATAATTCACTTAGAAATATTAATCCTATATTTCTTCAAAATTTTCTATGCCAAATCTTAAATTTGGGATTTTTAATATATTAATATAAATAGGTAAATATGTTGAAAAATAATTTTACACTAATTTTATTGCAGGGTTCAATATTCATCGACACAAATTTATCACAATCAGCCATAGAAGCAAAAGGAAAAAGTGAAAGGAGCAAGCAGCAGTAGGATGAATGTATTTAGGATGACATCTTAGAACTTAGCATCAAAACGGATGGAAACATCCCCTGAACCGCGTCGGAAGCTTCAGAGGACTTCCGACACCATCCATCGGACGCATAGTACTTGCAATATCCGACCGGCGGTCGGAGTCGGTGATGGGTTTTGACTGCAGCGAGATCGCAGGTTTACTTTCAGCAGCCTATGATCATCGCAGCCTGAAGGAGGAAAAACCGAGGCACTCGCTCGCTTTCCGCCCCTCTTACAATTCCCGATTTTGGCCATTTGGGTCCAACCGCAGACACAGATTCTCACTTGGGTCGTGTTCGTTTACTCGCAGAGAGGGCGAATCGTTTGTGGGTTTTTTTTTGCGGGGATAGATCCCGAGAGCTGTGCAGCATGGAGGCAATGCTGACCTGCGGAAATTGGACGCAGACGCTGGGATGTGTGGGTAAGGTTAGGCTGGGAGGCGGCGGAGTTTCCTCGGACAAGACGGTGTTTGGCGCTCACAATGGTTTGCGGAGAAGTAGCAGCGCTGGGTTGAGCTCAGTGGCGAAGGAGCTTCGTGTTGTGTCGTCTTTTAGAAGACGACAAGCGGCGAATGTTGGGGCGGGGGATTTGAGTGTGAGGGCCGCGAGTGGCAATGGTGCAGCGCCGAAGCAGTTTGATTACGACGTAGTGATTATTGGTGCTGGAGTTGGAGGGCACGGCGCCGCTCTTCATGCTGTTGAGAAGGTGCGCTGGTTTGATCCAGACTTTGCTCTGTTTGTGGGGTGCCTCTCATTGTGTCACATTCCTTGTTGCTGCTGCACGAATGGACGTGGTATTCAACGTGGGATTGGTGCATGATGGGCAATGACAATGTAGGGGTTGAAGACGGCAATCATCGAGGGAGATGTAGTGGGCGGAACTTGCGTGAACCGAGGGTGTGTACCTTCGAAAGCTCTCTTGGCTGTGAGTGGACGGATGCGCGAACTCCGAGATGAGCACCATCTCAAGGCCCTCGGAATCCAGGTTTGCACACATGGTTGCTTTCACCAACTTTTCTCTGATATATTCGCTTCTTTGATTTAAAGCTTTTGGGAAAAGAGGATTCCTAAAAAAATTATGAAGGAAGGCAAGCCCTAATTTTATTTTTCTTCAATGTGCTTTTGTTAGGTGGGAGCGGCAAATTTCGATAGGCAGTCAGTTGCTGACCACGCCAACAACCTGGCCACTAAAATTCGAGGAAATCTCACCAACTCTATGAAGGCACTTGGTGTTGATATTCTGACTGGTGTTGGCTCCATCGTGGTATGTAATCTTTGAAACCCGATCAGTGCCTAACAATGACTGACTGTATATGAAGATGTACAAATGTTTTCCGTTGCATAGGATTGTCAATTTGAACTGGTTTATGATCGGGAAGTGGTGATGTCGCCATCCATCTTCTACTTGAAACCCCAAAATTAAGCAGTCTACAAGGCTATATTGCTTATGAAGACCATTCAATCAACAAACTTCTTGTCTTGACATTTCTTACAGGCTCCTCAAGTTGTGAAATATGGAAAAATTGGATTTTCTGACAAAACTGTGACAGCACGCAACATTATCATTGCAACTGGTTCGGTGCCTTTTGTTCCTCCAGGAATTGAAGTTGATGGTAAGAAACTATCATCGTTGATACTTTAGATGCTTTCAAATCTTGTATTGCCGCGATAAGAACAAAATCTGATTCATATGGAGGATGCTCAGGAAAGACGGTGTTCACGAGTGACCATGCGTTGAAGCTGGAGTGGATTCCCGACTGGATCACTATTGTCGGAAGTGGTTACATTGGTCTTGAGTTCAGTGATGTTTACACTGCCCTTGGAAGCGAGGTACAGTTTTATTGAAAGGACACAATATTTTTAAAAATAAAATGGATATATTGGGTTCTAGTTTTAAAAAGTTGTCATCTAGTGGAGCTTATTTTCCTCTTGCTGTGGGTTGGCAGGTCACGTTTGTTGAAGCTCTTGATGGTTTGATGCCAGGCTTTGATCCCGAGATCGGCAAGCTTGCACAGAGGATCTTGATCAATCCTCGTAAAATTGATTATCATGTTGGAGTGTTGGCCAAGAAGGTGATTCTTACCCCATACACTGGATCAGACGTTCCTCATTTTGGAAGCCTTATAATTTGCACCTTTCGTCCCAGAGTCTTCAGCATGTATCGATTTTGATCATGGTTTCGCTTATGGTTTGTTATGCAGATTACTCCGGCTAAAGACGGGAAGCCAGTGCAAATTGAACTTGTTGACACAAAAACCAAGGAACCAAAAGACATTCTTGAGGTATAGAAGACGTACAGTTTTCTTGTTTCATTTTTTACATTCTGAGTTGATGCATTTGAACTCCGCAAGCTTGTCTTCTTGAAAAGCACCACGTGCCTGATCCTCGTTTTTTATGCAGGTCGATGCAGCCCTTATCGCAACAGGGCGTTCCCCATTCACGAAAGGCTTGGGGCTCGAAAAGGTAAATTGAGCATTGACATATAAAATTTCCAATTAATGTGATGGTTTCGTTGGTATACATGATGGAATACATATCAGTGAGTCCTTGTTTCACTTTGCTCTCAGATCTTGAGGAATCCTGTGATGGCTTGCAGATCAATGTGACTACACAGAGAGGATTTGTACCAGTTGATGAGCGCATGCAAGTGCTTGATTCTGAAGGCAAGCCGGTGAGTAGCCTCCTACTTGTGGTCCTCTACTGAGTCTATCTTGGATGCTACTTTTGATGTTGATCTGAATTGCGTGAGAGTGAACGATGTCAATGGGCGTTTTGTCTCAGAAGTTGTAATTATCTTATCATTTGTAGCGGTGGTGCAGGTACCACACTTGTATTGCATCGGCGATGCAAATGGCAAGATGATGCTTGCTCATGCAGCAAGCGCTCAAGGCATTTCGGGTGGGTCATACGACCCTGTTCCTCGGGATTGAAGCGCTAACATTGGATTCATAACATTATATTCATATTTATTTTATTGATTATGGGCAATCTCACTCGTCCCAGTTTCTCACATAAAATCGATATGCGTTGGTTTTTTATGAACAGTAATTGAGCAGATTGCTGGCCGAGATAACATTTTGAACCATAATAGCGTGCCCGCGGCCTGTTTCACGCACCCTGAGATCAGCATGGTTGGCTTGACTGAGGTACAGTGGTCCTGTTGTTTTAGAAGCTATCGTGGCAGTGCCTTAGTTTTGGATCTTCTTGTGATGTTATTGGCATGGCTCAAGGCCCTTAGTCCATTTCCTATTCTGGTAAGAACGGATTTCTTTTTATTTCTTTGCAGCCACAAGCAAGAGCGTTGGGAACGGAAGAGGGTTTCAAAGTAAGCGTTGCAAAGACTAGCTTCAAAGCCAACACCAAGGCGCTTGCTGAGAATGAAGGCGAGGGACTAGCTAAGGTAAAGCTTCTGTTTTTTGTTTTTTTATTTTTTATTTTTACATGTATTTTCGATTATATATATATATATCACACACACTGAAGTAGTCTCAGCATTCAGTTCGTATGATCCTATTGTAACTCTCTCGATCTTTCATGCTTTCTTTACCATGTACTTCTTCCTCAATTCCTTGTTTTTTTTCTGAACTATGTGGCTGTTTGTTTGCATACAGATGATCTACCGGCCAGACACTGGCGAAATTCTGGGTGTTCACATTCTTGGTCTCCATGCCGCTGACCTTATTCACGAAGCCTCAAACGCTATTGCGATGGGCAACACCATCAGGGTGAGTCCATGAACTCATTTGATTCACAGTTGCTGCTGAACCTTTTAATTCCCAGCTAGGATCCTTGATTTACCAATCAATATTCGTCACGTCTTGCTATCGATTGCTGTGTATTCCTAAAACAACTGGTTGTTCTTCTTGAATAGGACATCAAGTTTGCTGTTCATGCCCATCCCACCTTATCTGAAGTTTTGGACGAGCTGTTCAAGGCAGCTAAGGTATTTCTTTCGAACTCAAAGTAGTTGGTGTAGCATTTTGAATGAACCTCAGTGGAATTCAGGATTGTGCTTCATGTGTTTCTTCTTCATGGGACGATTTATCCTGCTTCATTTTTCTGCTTTCTAAAGCTTGTTGGTTTGAGGGTTGGCAGCTTGACGAGGAGCATGCGGCAGTAGAAACCCCAAAGGAAGTACTTGAATCAGTGAGTGCTTGATGTCTCGGCTCAGTCGTTCTTGTCGAAGATTATTTGATTTCTGGTCGTCGTATTTATATTTATATATCCTACACAACCTGGAGTTGCGCATGATTTCTAAACAGACGTTAAGTCTGTAGAATCAAGGTTTAGTTTACTTCCAACATCCATTGACAAGCGCGGTAGTTAGGATTGATCAAAGCTTTAGTGAGGATGCGGAAATAGGTAAGAATTGAAAGAATCCTCATATTCGAGCGGTTTTTAATTTGAAATAGTTTCAACGACGGACAGTTGTTGGATCTGTCTTGTGCACAATTCCCGTGAATCTTTAGCAGGTTTAACGAACTCACAGCATGAGAATCATTCCGACATCAGTGGACGAGTAAACTTCTGTGAATTCTGCAATTAGGATCTCTTCCTTTTAGAAATAAGGTTCTCGATTTTCGTGAAACATTTGCCAAGTGCCCAAAGTGCAGTAGAGACTGCATTCTTTAATGCCTTTTCCTAAAAGGTATTACTGTTAAATACCCAAATTCTCCAGATTCATCAATTTCTAAACTACTTTATCATAACCCTATCAGAACTCTGTCGGAACTCTATTCGTATGGTATATCCTTTGCTTCTGCTGCAACCGAATAGATATTGCTCAAGAGAACATGAGGAATCCTGCGCTGAAGTTGTCAGCAGGGCTTTTGCACATCGCGGTATCTCTTAAATGGTGTGTGGAGTGGCATTTAATAACTTAACGCCCTACTCTTAATGAGGATAGAGTTATTTAGGGTTTGCCTTGCCTCCATCTCAGCGAGTTTCGTTTTATTTGGGTTTTGTACCTGTTCTGGTTTTGTGTCTTATCGAATAGTATAGCGAGCCCCAGTTATATTGGGATGTCTACAAATAGACGTGTTATATATAAAAATATAATTCAAGCAATAAAAGAATGTCTGCAACCATAAGAAAACATGTGATGAAGACTACATAAGTACTTGCAATATGTAAACTCTTTTTGGAATATTAGTGGAGTAACCTGAGATCTTCCTTGTAAAAAACAACATTTCTATCTATGTGATACTTTACTTTCAAGGGTACAAATGCCTCAAGTAAGATACATATAAAATAAAAATCTGAATGCCACTTGTTTGCCAATGTGCAACAATAGTTGAACACAATGTCCCCCATACTTGATTTTCATCTGTCGAATGCTCACTTTATCTTGAGAAAGAGTATATGATTGTTAGTATATTTTAATTAAGACATGTATATATATATATATATATATATATGTGTGTGTGTGTGTGTACAATACACGCATGTATGAAATACTGGTTTGTTCTTGTCTGTTCAAATTTATTTCAACGACATAATTACATAATTATATATATAAGCATTGGCGATAGTAAACCATGACTTTATGGTGTTGGAATTTTCAAATGCAATTACAATTTATTTTGAATGATCATACACAATAAGAAAGAAAAGACAAAAGAAAGAAATAGAAGAAAGAAATAGAAACTAATAAATAAAGAAGAAAAACAAAAAGGAGTTTTATTTTTCTCACTTTTCTTTTATTTTCTTTCTCGAATGATGGTATTTGTCATTTATTGTATGCTTTTCGAGTTTAAAAAAATGATGTTATTGACGGAAATGTTTGTGAAAGCCTTTTATGAACCATACACAAAAGCAAAATAGTTGACAACATCTAATTTAAGAAGTATTACAAAAAATTACAACATATTGGCCATAAGAAGGAGTTCGTATCAAGGTTTTATGTCATCCAAAGCTACGTGTTATTTACTACAGCCCTACATGAATAATTAAAATCTTTTAATCGACATTGGGTCCAATTACCTTTGACACGTTTTAATTTTGTACATCTCAAATCACATGAAAGAAAGGATGAAAGGTTACTACATAAATCCACGTCCTGTTTCATTTCTCATCATTTCCCCATTATTCATCATTCTTGTTAGGTGGGTCAAGTATTATCAACTCACATACGAAAAAAATAAGAAAAATAATTGACACAAACATGATCGATTAACGACATATTATAAGACGGCACTAAAGACCGCCCCTAATTCGGAACAACTGACGACCGAGGGTATCAACCATCGGTCAAACCATCAGGGTATAGATAGACATGGAAGGTATCAATCGGGGCGAGATTAGGGTTGCCGGTGTGTGGGCTCCTCCGAACACGCGCTTTCTCGAGGCTTCTCCGCAAGCGCTGCAGTAACTGGCTCGTAGATTTGCACTTGTTTCTTCCGAGCGTCGATTTCGAGAAAGAAAGTTTTTCTTCTGCAGCTCGATTCTTCGGTGGCACGCGATTAGGATGGGCCCAGCACCTCCTAAATCCGTGCTCGGACATGGGTGTACCAAGGGCAGATGGACTCGAAGAACTGTTGAGAACTATCATTGTGGAATCGAAGTGGTCGAATTGTGAAACCGATCTCTCGAGATGGTTGGATTAGGTGAGCTCCACATAATTGCAACCCTGTTGTGAAGTATGAAATGAAGGGTAGGATGATATTCGTGGAGGCTCTTGCAGCGGTCTAGGAGTGTAGAACTGTATACGTTTCTGCTTTTAAGTCATGTATTTCGTTACGGGATTTATGAAATGCCTACTATTATACTATCCACAATTGAGTTCCGGGAGGGTTATTTACTGACAGGAACTACTTACACATGTGGAACTGAGGCTTCACGTGCAATTGAAAGTACTGCTCCTCAGTTTTGCTTCCGGCAATAAATTAGACTTCAGCAGTCAGGGAACTTAGCCAGAAATTAGGATGCACGATATGCTGGGTGCTACAGAACTTGTTCGCGGGGAGGAAGTGTCATCGAAGGAGCATATTGAGCAGGTTTCGGAAATAGCAAATTAGCGATGCAGCTCGCGCCAATTGCAAATTCCAAGTGGCACCGCTCCAATTCGGGCACGGGCTTGCCGGTCACCAGTTCACGGTGACAATCTTTGACAGATGGGTGCCCCTCGGATCCCAACTTTGAATTCAAATTTGGCGCCGTCGGCGCCGAAGGTTGCTCTTGTGGCGTAGGCTGATCGGAGGCCTCCGATTAGGGATCGTGCGGTTGAATCCGTACCCACGCTTCTGAACGGTTACTGCTCGCGCACCTGGTTTCTACGAAGCACCAGGGCTAGAACATATTTTTTTATAACCTCAATTATCACCGCAATTATCTCGGTTGCGATGAATCACCATCGACGGTCCTCGATATTTCTATTTTGAAACTGAGTGGACCGACCTTTCTTAGGTCACTTTGTTACCTTCGTCGATTTGAAATTTTAATCACCGGGTGGGAAATTCGGCGAGTTTCTGTGCAATTGTTTTTGCCAGAGTAACTTGCTTTTCAAGCTTGAGGGGGCGCTTCACCCGCCCCATTTTGACTGTTAGATGTGGGCGAGGTCAACTGTTTTGTCTGCGGTCTCTGAAGCCTACGTTATCGGGAGCGAGTGCCGGAGGCAGTGACTTCGTGTTCCTTCTCGTTTGTGATCCGAGCGGAAGTTGAGATTGTGGGCACCGTGATCTGCTTCAGAAGAAACTTCAAGTGTGCCTCCTCTTCTCGCAGCTCCTTTTGCTTCCTATTAGCTCCCTTTCTTCCTTGTAGCTCTTCCATCGAGTTTCTGTGACTTTGGGCTCTTCTTTCACAACACCCACTTTCGATTTTTCTGGTTGTGTTGGGCTGTTTCGGTACTTCTTTGGGCGCTTTGAGACGAGCGCCACAGATTGAGTGCGTAGTCTTCCCCTGATCTACCTCTCTGCCCTTGCGCTGCCCAGATTTCTACCTATATTGGCAGAGTCGCTGCAGTTTCTAGGGTTACTTTGCGGCGTTTCGGAAGGGACAATACTATCAACGTCAGAATTTTAGGGTTCTGCTTTTGCGCGGAGCAGTCGTTCTTGCTGCCAAGGGGCTTGCGCCTGCGTATGCCGCGTAGTGTGTGAGTTTACAAGAAGCAGAACATAGACCTTTACGGACAAGGATAACAGGGTGCGCTGCTCTGCTGTTAGCTAGAAGCAACAGGACTATTGGGCTGGACTTCCAGACCTTGAAAGTCTCTCTCGAGGTTGATTCAGGATGGTACCCCCTAGGAAGAGGAAGTTGATTCAGACATGCCCTGTTACTACGACGCTTTCCATAGGTGGGTCTTCAGTTTCCGAGTGCAGAGTGGGTTCTTCGCTTGTCGCAAGTCATTGACGCCTCCGTTCGTGTCTCTAAAAAGACTCTTATCTCCATGTTGCAAGTTTATAGAAATGTCTTGATGTCTAGTTTGTGCCGAAATGGAACAGTTCATCCTAGATCTTTCCATGCTGCGTTTTCCACTGGAAAACTAATAGCTACAACTGGATTCTGAACGTATAAGTCGCGTGACTCGACTTTTGATTTTTTTTGTTTTCTTCGATTCAGAGAGACCAATTTTAAATTCGTGTTAAGACCCGGGAAAGGCCCAACTTTGTGACTGCAGAATACGCACCCACTGACTTTAAGTGCTCGACTGAAGATTGTTTTCTCAGGATCCCTAGTATCGCGTAGTTAAGGATATCTGAAACACTATTTTCTGTTGTCTTGCAGGAAACTGTGTAGTCGAATTCCCTAATGACGTGGAGCAAGATTATAGCCCTAACACTCTAAGTCTGCAAGTTCACAAGTCTGCTTCAATTCGAATTTCCGGTATACCGCTCGTTTTGAATAAACACTAGAAGTAGCCATTGAGTTTAAATAAAGAAGGATCTGCTAATTTCTTTGCGTGGTTCTATTCTGTACCTCAACTTTTATACGGCTCTGTGAGTTCGAAACTCACTCGCCAATGACTTGAGTGTCCTTTGGATTCTGAGGAGGCGCTTTTGGCTTTGGGAAGTTGGCGGTCATTTAGTTTTTTATTTTTTTAGTTTTTTAGTTTTTTCTAGATAGATCCTTAATTCTCACTTAAACGGTTGAGTGTAGTCATCATCTCTTTGGAGGATCGCGTAGTTCATTTCACCATTCTTGTTTGGTTCGTGCGCTTGCTTTGTCCTGCCTTGACGTTTATGTTCTGGGGTCTGGGTGTTGCAGTTGATTCATCCAAGCATCAGCCCTCTGGAATTCTTAGCCATTCTAGCCCTGGTAATTCTTCTTCAGAACTTGCTACTGGGCTTTGTCTTCTTGATTTAGCAAAACATAGAAATTCCCTGTTCTCATGAGATTGTGGAGATAGCCTCCTCGTAACGTTTAGTGAGCGCTTCTGTGTTAGATATCACCCATAGAATTTTTGAAGATCTTGCTACCTGATTTCAATTCCACGCTGATTTGTGTCTGCTTTTTAAACTCAGGTCCTGGTTCCCGAATGGGCATTTCGTTCCAACTAATTAATCCTAAAAGTCTGGACAAAGTCAATGATGAGCTTCTGGAGGTACCATCCTTGCCCAATCTTCAGAAGCGCACTCACTTTAATACCCCGGGGATGTCCAAATCGTTACCATTAATTATTTATATATTTCTAGCTCAGATATAATTGAGCCGACGGAAAGTGATGTGTAAAAGTGCCGGAGGATTTTGCGAAAATATGCACAAACGCAATGACTTTAACTAATTGCTCTATGTTGGACTCAGGGTGTCACCCAATTGTACAAGCGGGAACTACCAGCGATGAGCTATGCTGCTGGTACTGGAAAGGAATCTAATTTTCTTGAAAACTGCACGACGAGTGGGTGAGTGCTAACTGTGTATCTGTCAATGATTCCTTGAGATCCTCAGCATGTGCCATAGCGTGTGTCTCGGGTAGGAACTAACAGTTGGATACAATCTCCCGCAGGAAGTATTGTACGCTGTTAATGAAGAAGACTGGCGCTTCTCTCGCTGACCCTGAGGTGCTTATTTTCCTTTATGTGCACACTGCTCCTGTTATTCCTTGAAAAGCTCAGCTTTGCACATCCTATCATGTAAATCCTTACTCGAATGAAAGTTTAACTGGACGGACTTGCTGCAGGTTGTCGTAGGAGCTATCACTTACCAGATTCTGCCTTCTAGTACGAACTATGTTGAAATTCCCCTGGCTGCCGTGGATCAAGCTTGTCAGCGCCAGGGCTTGGGTCAGTTGCTTGTCGGCGAGCTAGCACGCAGGTTGACAGATGTGGGTGTGTTGACGTTGTTTTGTTGGGGCGATCAAGAGTCTGAGCAGTTCTGGAATAAACAAGTATGTTCGCTTGCTACACACTTTCAGTATCTGTACATTTCTTGTTCGACAATCTTCTTTGCAGTTGATCGCAACATCATTATACCTGGGACTCTGATTTTTTACTCTCCAATTTATCATTGTTGCAAAATTTGTCCCGTTGTCTTGGGTTAGCTGTCTCTTCTCAGCCTTTATTGCTCAAGACGGCAATTTTCTGCAGGGCTTCTTGAAAATTGCGGAAGTTGATGCCCAGGGTAGGCCCCAAAAACTGCGTTTGAAGAATGAAATTCGGAAGGCTATGTCTTTTCCTGGAAATTCAGCTCTTATGGTTTGTCATTTGACTAGGGTGAATTCGCCTTCACCACTCACTTGTGCTGGTGAAACCACTCCTCTCCGGGACTCTGCTTCAGTTCGCGCTGCAGTTCAAACTCCCATCGCCTACAGTGACGTATCGGATCCGTGTCCGTCTCCTCATGGTAGTACGCCCTGTGAGGCACGTCCCTCAGATGCGAGTCAAGATCAAGCAGTCACCTCCACTTGCAGTCCAATTCGTAATAATGCTTCCTTGAAAGGGAACTTAAACAACAGAGCATCCCATAGGAAAGTCACCGTTGTGACTAATTCTACTCCTGGCTCTGAGCCCTCTTCAGTTAGGTCCAACCGCACCCTCAAGTTTTCAAGACCTGAAAAAGATGTGTCCTTGGAAAAGGAGCCGTCGGAATGCGCTCTCCGTACATCGTCAGTTGATTTTGATGGGACTTCAGAGGGGGAGAAGATTCCACCTACCAGTTCACCTGCAGATGCTACTTGTGTGGAGAAATCATCGTCTTCATCCGAAGTGGTTTCGCATTGTAGCAGTGCATCAAGGGTACCTCTAAAGAATTTGAACATAGCCCCTGTGAAGAAGAGGCCGTGGAAAAGTACTCAATGTGTTGATCTGAACGTTGTTTCAGAGCATCCGGGGTCTCGACTGTCCTCTAGCATCAGTAAGTTATAGCTGTTATCTTAAGTCGTATGGGTTCAGAATTACATGATGTTATCTAGATGGCTAGATTATAGTTAACTTACATTGAAATCTCGTGACGTTCCTTTTATTTGCGCATCTTTTGGGTCGTTCTGAAACCCCGATTGTTTGGTACCTCAGACTGCGGTCCCGAAAAGGAGAACAACCAGCCGGCTGTTGAAGAAGTCTCTGAAACTGAACGTGGACGAGATGATATTACTTTGAATGCTGGCTTAAAGCGCCCTCGGCAAGATACATTTCCAGTTAAAACGGTTGGTAGAAGATCAGTGAGGAGACGAAGAGGCGAGAGTCCGTCATCTGTACTCTCTATATTGCAAGCTTCTGAACCATCACTAGTCGAGCCAACCCGAAATCTTGAGCATTTGTGTGATGTTCAAAAGGCTAAACCGACCGTACCAACCATTCGAGAGTCTAAAATCATGGATTGTAAGCAGTCAATGGCAGATGAATCGTTTTCACCTTCGGGCGTGGGTGATGAACATTTGGATCCAAGGTTCGACAAACAAGGAAAGGATTCTACCATCCGTAAGCGGTTAACGAACCGACTAATTCATGTGCCCGACGTTAGAGAGGACTTGGCTTCTCCAGCGAAGACATGCACCCCAGTTGTGTTCCTTATGACTATGCCCAACGACCCTAAGAAAAGAGCGCTTGCACAGGTTCGCTCCTGAAACGTGCTTTTGGTAATGTTCTTCAAATTATAAAGCTCATTACACAAGTAAATTCCTGAAGGATGACAATCGTTTTGACTCTCTAAGGTAGTATTGGCAGTTGGTGGAGAAACTTGGAGGGAGGGTTACTGGAGACGGAGGTGAATGTACTCATATCGTCACCTGCGAAGCGAGAAGGACCCTAAATTTCTGCTCAGCTATTTGCAATGGGTAAACCTCGCTTCTGTGATATCCGAAGTTATCTAGAGTGCACTTGATTATCATGTTGGCAGAACCTTAATCGAGTGCACACAGCCAGGAATATAATTTTTCATTCTTAAGGGAGTATGCGGGTGTTAAGATTTGCAATACTTGTTTTTTTCTGCTTCATGTTAATCTCATGTTTTCAATTCGCAGGGCATGGGTTGTCACGCCAGACTGGTTGAAAGCCAGCAGCAGATTGAAATATTTTGCTGGTGAGTACCATCTGCCATCCTGTTGCTCTGAATTACGGTTCTATTATTGTTTGAGTTAGTGTTTAATACTAGTCTAACCTAATTGACGGGGCCGCTAATACTCGCATTCTTACCCACAAGTTTTTTGTGATTGTAACAGATGAAAAGTCGTATATTCTTAGAGACAAGCAGTTTGAATCCAAGTACAAAGTTAGTATAGCAACTGTGATTCAATTAGCACAACGAAGGCCTTGCTCCTTGTTCACTGGATTCTCTCTCTACCCGACATCTCATGTGCAACCTCCCCTAAGCACTATCACCAAATTAATTCAGGCCTCAGGTGGAAAGGTAAGACCTGCCCCATCATTACTGCTGTCACTTTTCTTCTCCTTTTTCCCTCCTTGCGTGAAATTTTAATTTTAATTACTTATATTCATATTTAATGATAAGTTTTGCTCGTCTTAATCATGCAGTCTTTGTGAAAATATCAGGCCATATTTAAGTCCTGCTCTAAAAATGGATGTGTGTTTGCAGATTCTCTCAAGCTTGGACCAAGCCATGCAGGAAAGGAATGCCTCGCACTCTATTGTTCTGTCTGGTGAGGCAGACAAGGCAGAAGCTGACATAGCATCAAGGGCTGGACTTCGAACTTTTACTGGCGAATGGTTTATGCAAGCCATTGTGAGACAGAGAATAGATTTCGATGCCAAAGTGTTGGATGACCATTAGCCATTCTTGTGTTATCCGATTTGCATGTATAGTAGTACACGGGTCGAATTCAATCGGCTCAGTTGGACAGAGAATGAATTGTCGAGTTAGGGAAACGCGGTCCGATATACCATTGTGACGAAGTTTCCGACATCCAGCATTTTCTACCAGGATATTGACTTTTAATAGCGGCCTTCGGCCAAATCATTTACTAGGGGATTTTTCATGTTTCTGTAAGTAGAACCCCTGAAATTGAAGATGAAACCAAACAGTTCTGATTGTACTCAAGGAACACCGGACGTGAGTGAGCTTTGTATTCCTGTTCTGAATATTTTCGATTAAAGCTGCTGGATCAACTTTTATAACCAATCAACGATGTTTTTCGCATTTGATCCATCTCGATCCGCCATGGTTGGTGTATAAGAAGCGTTGAGTTGGTGAGCAGTAGCAAAAACAGCCTAAATCGTCTGCGACTAGGTACACTGTCAGCGTCATGCGTCCCGTATCCATGGTGGCTGTTGACGTGTAGTTGCCATGTGCCCCATCACGTTTATTTCGGAATTTCTCCTATCAATACAGCAAACGGGGTGTTGGCCTCGTAGTCAACTTGCTGTCGGCAACAGTCCCTCCGCACGCCCCAGCCAATGCAGTTGCTGCTCTCGTGGAGCCGCCTCGTGATATGTTCACTTTGTTCACGTGTACATTCCGCCTACTTGCCACACGCGTATTACAGTAAGTTAAACAGCACTTGCTGCAATAATTCGTGAACGTTTGCTTCCAAATTGATCTCCAATTCTTTCTCACCATTTGTGTAGCGTCTGGTGTGACACAAATGCCATATCCTTAGCAATCCATCTCCAACCGGCTCTAGAAACATTGTGGTCTGCCTGCGGTAATCCTTCTGAATCTGCAAGGTTGATTTCGTAGTGGGTTCTAAATCAGAGCCCAGGTTCCTTTGCTTGGGTGAGTATGGAATGATTGTGACTTCCTCATAAATTTTTATTGTTTTGTTTCTGTTGACACAAGGTAGTCTTTTTGCACAAACAACTTGTTCTTTTGAGAATGCTACCAGGGGCCATGTTTACGAGGGTTGATCACTTGTTGAACAACAATGTGATTAAAATCCATAATTTTATGTATAAATGTATAATCCCAAAAATGATGTAACATTATTCAATATATCTTAAGCGAACATAAGTCATAATAATTACAGATTCCAACATTAATTTCCCTTTTCACATATTGATCATTACTCCTTGCTAACAAATCATCTACATGACAGCTATTTCTTTTTTGGTACGCATCTTGAAGCAATGCCTTTCCAATCACTCTATTTGATTGTAGCTGAATCCTACTGCATGTATTACATGTGTGGAGCCAATCAAATTAATGCCAAGTTAAGTTACAAAATTCATAATATTAGCTCTTAATCCCCATCTATAAGCTAGGAAATTAAATTAGAATGCTTGTCATAAAATTCTTTATAATCTAAATAATTATATTTATTTACATTAAATTTTACAATATGTTCAATCAAAGTTACGTCTTCTATTCTTTCTATATTATTTATTTATTTATTTTCCTCATTTTTTATATTTTAAGTTAAGAGATTTTTGAAAAATATATTATCTTCTTTTAAGGTGTATATAATCCTATTTAATTGATTAGCTTAGAATTAGATTATATATTCACGTATATATGTAGATTTTATTTAGAACAAGAAATATTCAAGTAGCTCTAAACATCTTAGTCTTTAAGAAGAACGTCACATTTTGTTCAATGCTAAGAATAATTATTTACAGATATTTAATAAATTAATATATTTCATTATTTGCAAGCTATTGTATAAATCTTTTCAATCTAATTTGATTAAAAATAATTTTTTATTTGTAAGAAACCAAAGTTGCACCAAAAAAAAAAAGTTTTGTATCTAATCAAATGATTTTAGAGATATTTGGTACAAATGACTATGCATTAATGTTTTTATTTTTAGACTAATGGCTTGATTTATAATATAAATTAAGTATTTAAGTAAAACAAAACTATTGCTTTTCTTATGTTGTTAGCAAGACCAACAAAAATATATATATATATATATATATATTTTAAAACATTAGTTAAATATGGTTATAAATTCACAAAAATCTATTTGGGAAACAAAGTTATTGTAACCTTCTATGGATCTATTAAGCATAGTTCTTATATCTTTTAGATTTGTGGCATGTCTTCTATGCCACTTAAATCTAAATTTTTCTTTCTCATATTTGAAGGATTCTTTTTGGCTAGTTTTTAGACACATATCTCCAAAATTGCTTCTCCTTATGGTACTTGTTTGAAGAATAAACATTTTCCATTCTATTCTTGTGATTTTTTTTTGAATTTGCATACTTGTCATGTTTGTTTTCTATAAGAAATCTGTAAGAAATTAACTATAATAGGTTGATTTCTTATAGAAAACATTTGGACGCCATTTTTCTAGATCTAGTTCTACGACTAAAACACTTTGTATCACCCCAACCTCCAAGTACCCTCACATAAAACCTACAATTTTTTGCTCACTGGTAATTTTCCAGAAAAATGTATAAAACTGCACAACATTACCTGACGTTGTTCCGATGCAAACTGTGCTTAACTAGACATGGGTGGTGGTGCTAGATGGACTCTGGACCTGCAGATTGACTTTGCAGCCGATAACAAAGAAAAATGTTGAGTAGCAGTCACTGAAGACAGCCTTCCGTTGCTTCTTGAGAGTTGCAATGGCAGGAAGTGCATCTGAACCAATCTGATCTGTTGCTATTTGCTGTGATTTGCAGTGAATCTCAAAGACAGACTTGCTTGCAAATATGTTTACACACAAACTGCCCCACTTGGAAGCTCATTTCACTGGGTATATTTCTTTGTGCCATTCCCAAGTCAGCTCCCCCATTTTAAATGCAAGCCTGCTGTCTGGGTTGGTGTACAGTTTTCCTTGAGAATGACCCATCACTTTAGTTCTGCAGGAATGGGTGTGGTTTAATTTTTTTATGTATTTATTTATTTTTAAAATCTGGACGACGTTTCACAGAATGGAACGTAATAGAACAGTATGTTAACAATCTCTGCTCCAAATACTTACACTATTTTCTGTGTTAAATAATAAACTCATAACAATCTCATTTTATTTTCATTTTATTCATTATGTGTTTTTTGGTTTTGTTTTGTGATTGTTGTTCATCTTTGAACAATTATGTGTGTGATTTAATCCCCCCTACCCCTTATTAATTAACTTATTCTTTGTATGCAAACACAACACAAATCATGTGATGGAAAGTCATATTTACTGCATTATTCAAAGCTTGTTACTTGTCATACTTGTCTGTCTATTTTTGAAATTTGTCATTTGAAATTTTGGAGTTGTATCATTGTGGTTCTAAGATTTGGTCGATTTCCCTTTGTTGGAATATTGTTATTATTTCAACACTTTTGTCATGATAGAAAGAATGTGTTTTAAGAAAGCATTGGTCTTTTGGCTGTCATTAAATGTTCAATCAAATCTTTACTTTAAAAAAACATCAAATTCATATATAAAATTATTCCTATAAGAGCAATTACATCAATACATAAGTTTTAAGTATCAAAGATTATCAAAAATGTGATAAAAATATTATAAAAATTTGTATATCTTTAAGATATATTTTTTTCAAACTTCAACAATTCATATTTCATGATTGGATTGTCCAAACAAATCTAAATTATACATGAAGTATTGATGTACTTTTAACAGCTATTACAACAAATTTTAATTGTAAATTCGTCACAAATCTTGAGATATCATCAAAACTCTAATATAGCTTCAAATCCTTGTTTATATACATTTGTGTGCAATTTTTTTCATATTTCACAAACTAAATATTCAAATACCATAAAAATTTAATATATAGCTTTTCAACTCAATAACACAAACTTCTAAAAATATTTAGCCAAAAATTCATTTGGAAACTGAAGATATGACTCTAACCATTACTATCAACAAAACAACTCATTTACTACCTTTGAATTATATGTGCTGTCTTCAATGGTCTATAACTTCTTCATACAAACTCTAAATGTAGAATCTTTTTCAGAAGAGGTGTAGATCTTAAAATCACCTTTGCGACCGAATCTTCCAAACTCCAAAATCTATTATAAAACTCTTCGTATCCTCAAAACAACAACAATATATCTTAAAAAGATACTTTAACTTCAAATGGCTATAACTTCATCACCCTAATTCCAAATCCTTTAATATTTGTATAAAAATTGTAGCTCAAATTCTAAAACTTATAATCCTTGCTTTTGATTCTCAAATGCCCCTTTTGAAGTCGCCAAAATTCTTATTATGGTCGTAGATAGCTTGCTGATTGCTTATTGGGCATGGCCTTTGACCAATAGGAATAAAGATCTTTACCTTTTGCCTTCATCCGACCATGCTTTGATTTCATCCCTCCCCATAAGCCTCCTAGTAGTTTAGATTTTCATCCTTAGGTTTCCACCTTCTTTTAAAGCTCTATACTAAACGTCTAAATCTTATATAATTAAAATACTATAATAAAAATAAATAAAATTTAAAATAAAGTTTCTTATATCTATTCTCTTTAAATTAATATATTAACCATTCTAATACACATCAAGACTTATAAACATAAAATATGTTTTAATTAATTTTTATATACTATAAGCATTTATAGTACAATACAATAATGATGTTTCAATTAGAGAATGGAACATAGACACTGTCTAGAAGCCCTTCATTACTAATCGAGAGCTTACAAGTCCTTATTTAATTGCAATTGGTGACTCGAAGTTTCACATTTGAGTCAAAAGGAGCTTAAAATAATTGAACAAGGCATCTTAATGTAACATTTAAAATTGGATTAGGTTTTTTGGCCAAATTTGTGACAAAGGTGAAATAGTAGTGTGGGAAGGAGATGAAGGCGTGGATGTAATTGGATCTACAAAGAGGTGGACATATAGAGTATTAAGACAAATTTTGGCCTTACGATCATATGATGGATATCACAACCTCAACAATTCTATTGATTTTTTTACCATTTTGTTTTAAAAAATATAAAAGGTTTAGAGATTTAGAACTCAAGGTTAGAAGATTGGTGTGTTGGAATAGGATCTTTATTGTGTTGGAGGTAGAATACATAGAATTTTTTCAATAGTACACAAGTTTCTTAAGGATAATCAAAAGGTTCAAGGAAAGGTCACCAAGGATCTTCAATTTATTTTTGATTGATATTTTTTTGGGCAACATTAGAGTTCTTGTCTATTCGTGATATCAAGAGAAGAAAGGAAGAATTGAATTGATATTGAAGATTCTGTAAAAAAAAATAAAAAAAATTAGC